CGTCGTCCTGCCCTGCTTGTCGCGTTGCCCTGCTGGCCGTCGCGTCGCCATGCCCTGCCCACGCGCCGCTTTGCTTGCAGCCGCGCCGCCTTGCCCTGCCTGCGCGTCGCCCTGCCCTGCCCGCGCTGAGCCGCCCTGCTGCCCGCACCGCCCTGCAGCGCGCCGCCCTGCTGCTGCCCGCCCTGCTGCGCGCAGCCCTGCTGGCCGGCGCCCTACTGCCCGCGTGCCGCCCTGCTGGCAGCCGCACCGCTGCCTGCACCTCCCTGCCTGCGCCGCCCTGCTGCTGCTCGCCCTGCTGCGCGCCGCCCTGCTGGCCAACGCCCTTCTGCCCGCGCGCCGCTCTGCAGGCAGCCCCACCGCCCTGCCCTGCCCACGCGCCGCCCTGCTGGCTGCCGCCCTACCCTCCCTTGGCCGCGTGCCACTCTTCCCTAGCCGTGCGCCGCCTCTCCCTGCACTGCGCGCTTCCCTAGTGCTCGAGCGCCGCCCTGCCTGCGTGCTGCCCTGCTGGTCGCGCGCCACCCTGCTCTACCTGCTATGACTTCTCTCAATGTTCTCAGCTTCGATCATGAGGGCCGTCCGATCTAGTTCGATACGTGGCTAGACGACTTACAGTTGTACCTACTGAGCGATTCTAGAGACAGCGTTTCGTTGTTTGACCACACATCTGGAGCCTCTCTTGCCCCTCCCGCCACAACGGACAGTGCGACTCGCTCACAGTGGCTTACTCGTGATGCTGCTGCTCGCTTAGCCGTTCGCAACCACCTACCGTTAGCCAACCGCGCTCACTTTAGCCATGACGGTATGGCTGGCGGCATGGCTGGCGGCCTGGCGGCATGGCTGCCGGCTTGGCGGCATGGCTGCCGGCCTGGTGGCATGGCTGGCGGCATGGGTGGCGGCCTGGCGGCATGGCTGGCGGCATGGATGGCGGCATGGCTAGTGGCCTGGCGACATGGCTGCCGGCCTGTCGGCATGGCTGGCGGCATGGCTGGCGGCCTGGCGGCATGGCTGGCCGCATGGCTGGCGGCATGGCTGGCGGCATGGCTGCTGGCCTGGCGGCATGGCTGGCGGCCTGGCGGCATGGTTGGTGGCCTGGTGGCATGGCTGGCGGCATGGCTGGCGGCATGGCCACCGGCATGACGGCATGGCTGCCAGCATGGCGGAATGGCTGGCGGCATGGCGGCATGGGTGCCGGCCTGGCGGCATGGCTTCCGGCCTGGCGGCCTATGAGGGCCTTTAGGACGCATGAAAAGACGCATGCCTGGGCAGGGCAAAAAAAACCCCTGGGCAGCTGTAAACAAAAGTTTTAGGGCTTGGGAAGGGGGGGGGGGGGTGAGGGGGGGGGGGGTGGGGGACCTTTGCACACATTCAATGCAAAATTTTCCCCAACAATAAAACCTTAAGGGTTTATTAAGGAGAATTGGGGTTGTGAATGGAGGGAGCACAAATGAGGTGTGCAACCCTATATGGGTTTGGTTCGAGGCCACAAAGGTTGGATGTTCTAGATGTAGAGTGGTTGGGTGGGTTGGGTTGGGGGCTTTACGAAATTGACATTCGCGTCGAATTCGCGAATGTCAATTTCGCGTTTCGGAAATATTTTTTCGATGGGCAGACCGGAAAAAAATCAGGGTGCGTCCTGCGTCTGGACGCGCGTCCTGCGTCTCTGCATCCAGACGCTGCGTCCAGACGCAGGACGCAGCAGGACGCGTGCGTCTTTTGCCACTTAGCTGGCGGCCTGGCCGCATGGCTGGAGGCATGGCCACCGGCATGACGGCATGGCTGCCGGCATTGCGGCATGGCCACCTGCATGGTGGCATGGCTGGCGGCCTGATGGCAGGGCTGCCGGCCTGGCGGCAGGGCTGCCGGCCTGGCGGCATGGCTGGCGGCCTGGCGGCATGGCTTCCGGCCTGCCGGCATGGCTGGCGGCCTGGCGGCATGGCTGGCGGCCTGGTGGCAGGGCTGGCGGCCTGGCGGCAGGGCTGGCGAACTGGCGGCATGGCTGCCGGCCTGGCGGCATGGCTGCCAGCATGGGGGCATGGCTGGCGGCCTGGCGGCATGGCTGCCGGCCTGGCGGCATGGCTGGCGGCATGGCAGCATGGCTGGTGGCATGGCGGCATGGCTGCCGGCCTGGCGGCGTGGCTGCTGGCCTGGCGGCATGGCGGCATGGCTGGCGGCCTGGCGGTATGGCTAGCGGCCTGTCGGCATGGCTGGCGGCCTGGCGGCATGGCTGGCAGCCTGTGTGGATCCCTCTTGTATGGATCCCTCCTGTGCGCACACTACTCCTGGCACTCACCCGCCCTGACAGTGACGTGCTGCACCAGTACGAGCTGACTTTGAGGCGCCTCAATATTTTGTTAGGGTTGGAGAGCCTTGAGACTGTCAAAGATCCCACCTGTGTGCACACTTCTCCTGTGCGTACACTTCTCCTATGCGCACACTTCGCCTGGCACCCGCCCGCCCTTGCAGAGACGTGCTGCACCAGTACGAGCAGCGCAGGGGCTGCATTCCCCGCCACCTCAACCACCTCACCGGCCTCCGCGCCTTGTCAGTGACCCGCCTTGTCAGTGCTGCACCCGTCGCTACTCAAGCAGTGAGCTTCCTTTGACTTCTCTACCGTCTAAGCACGCGCCCATGAATCCCACCTTAGTTTCTCATTCTGAATGCGCCCTGCGTTGCCCCTCATGCTGCACCCCGCATTGCGTCTCTTGGTGCAGTCTTGCTGCTGGCAACGGCCTCTCAGGCTTCCTTTCATGGACATGGAGCGCACTCACTGCACTGGAACGCGTGTGAGTGCTCTTGGTTCTTCCTCACATCTCAGCACTCGGCCAGTCAAGTACCTTGCTGCTCACTCTCCAAAACCTGCAAGGAGCTTTTTCCTAGGATATTCTAGGATATTCTAGGATATTCTTACAACCAGCTTACAACCGGGTTGGTAGCACTCCTGGATCCGCCGCTCTCCCCTCCCACCATCAACCTTCTCACTCTACTCTCTAACAGCAACCTGCAAGGAAACAAGATGGAAGGTTCCATCCCCCTGTGAACTGGCCCCAGTTCACAACCCCTACCCCAAAAACAGTCGTCAGTGCGGCAGCACTGCCTGGGCCCAGAGATGACCCGAGAGTGCAACCCATAGATGACCCGAGAGTGCAGCCGAGAGATGACCCGAGAGTGCAGCCCAGAGATGACCCGAGAGTGCAGCCCAGCGCACAGAGGCTAAGGTGACTCAAGCTGGTCCTGGAAGGGCGATGGCTGCACGGGGGGGCATAGCCATGCATTCAGCACGTGTGGCGGGGAACGGGGGGGGGGGGGAGAGGAGGAGAGCGTTGGGCTGGGGGGCTCGTACCAGGTGGGCGCAGCAGCAGTGAGCAGGTGATCCTACATGCGCCTGCAGGTGGCATTGGACGAGGCAGCCTTTCTGCTGGACGTGGCAGCAGCAGAGGGCACGTGGGGCGAGACGCGTCAGCAGCTAGCAGGGCTTTACCGGGAAGCAGGGCTGGAGGAAATGGCCTCGTTTGTCCTTGCTGGACCCCAAGCTGAAAGATAGGCGGAGCGGGCCGACCACGGATAAGGGGAGAATGTGAGTGATGTTATTCGAAGGCGGAGAAGCACTTGCCATTATACAGCTGCTTTTTTCATGTGGGGAAGACTTCTTTTTGTGTCAATGCCGACACAATCCCGATCCCATCCCGCATTTGCATCCTGTTTTGCAGATTCTGATCCGGTCCTGTTACCACCCTCGTGCCTGCAGCACATTGCCAGTGTCGACTAAGAGAATATTGGCGGATCTGAGGCAAAGAAAAACACATCATCTTTCTTTATGCATTTACACGGTTCTGACATCTGAAGGTGAAGTTTATTTTGAAGTATTTTTCAGGGTGCAATAATTATCTCTTCCAAGTGGAACTGCTTGAAGTTGTACAAAACTCAAAAGTTGTGAAGGCAAACGGCCGGCGTGATAATGGGATGAAATGAAAGGTTGTTGGTCAATCCCGACAGTGTCGTACTCGCCATAAGTCGGAACTGCCCCGTCACCTCATCTTCGGGGGACCGACCACGCGCCTTTTGTGTGTGCACTGCACACCATGTCGGTGTGGAAATCACGAATCACGAATCTCGATGACCCATGTCAAGCTTTGCAGCTCACCGATGCCACACATATTTGGCTTCGGGTTCGTCGGGAACTTTCAATACGGGCAGTTTATCTCTGCTGAACTTGCCCAAATCCACTCGTCAGTTTTCCATGAGCAGGAGCCAAGCTGGTCTGCCAAAACCTCCTTCCTTGCTGGCAGTCCACGTCGCACACCACCGCAGCCCGCGACTCCAGACTTCTCGCGGCACCGTCAGCTCCTGCATCCAACCAGGCCCTACGCTCATCCTCAGCAGAACCTTCGCCTCATTCGATTCGTGCGATGCCCTGGCGACCGTTCGCTGCTCGTCGCACACCTTCGAAGTTACCGTCAACCGAGAAGCCAACTCCGCTTCCTCCTCAATCCAGTTCACTCCAACCCACTACCCGCGGCACCCTCCTGTATTTTTGCCAATTGCTGGGAAGGAATATTGATGACTGCTCTAAAAGCTCGGGACAGTATTGGTTGGTCGCGTCCTCCTAAGTACAACGCACTTTGACAAGACAGCTATTTCTTTTCGTTTCTAGGACGCGGCCAGAGCGAAGGTTGCTTGATCACGCTCCGCTCCATTTGTTGAAACCCTTTCCGTCAGCTCACAAGCAACCACCTAAAATAGCTGTTCTCCTTCCACTCGGTCTTAGCTCAGGGCACGCTTTCTAGCGGTACAGAATTATTTGAACCTAAACACCAGGGGTGCAGACTGTCACGATGGTGTGTCCGATGAGGGTCGTGCTCGTGGTGGTCTCAGCGTTCATCGCGGGCTACATGACATGGCGGTCATGGAAGAGCGTCGATGACGTCGATAGCCTTCACTCTTCCGAAACGTCTGAGACCTGTTTCGCGTACGGCGACGGAAGCTCGGAGACGGATGCAGCGATGTTGTCGGATCCTCTTGTCCGGTCGGGCCGGGGTAAAAGCAAGAAGGTGAGCGGCTTTTTTTTTCGCCCGGAATGGTTTGTTCGCTCCGACCGTCGCCATTTGTATCTCACGTCGAAATAGGACTCTATTTCGTTCCTTGAAATGCAAGGCATTGGGCTCCTAACGCTCAACCCTAATTTTCACTGTTCGTAGTTCTCTCAGCAAGATCAGCTGATCTTATCTGTGATTTTTCTCTTATCCCTGATATTCCGTCTTCAGAGCAAGACCATCTGGGCGCACATTTGGGCCGTGCTCATGTCTATCGTCGACATGGGATCAGGTCGCTATCTATACGCAATGTGGGCTGCCAAGAAGGAGCAGGAGAAGAAGGAGCTGCAACAAACACAGCGGTGTCAGTCCCAGGTGGTTGCTGGGGATGCTCCTGCAGTTCCCTGCCAATGTTGCCAAACGATAAACAGTCTTTAACCTAAGCAAGCGGTTTGCCCAATCTATTGTAGATAGAAACGATACTGTCAATTGTATCTGTGCTGCCCTGATTGCGAAAGGGGCTACTACTAACCAGCAAAATATGTCTTTAACGATGACAGTGAGTAAGCTTTCATGGTCAAATGAAGCTGGATACCACAGCTACCACTTAATCAGTTGCTCAACACCATTTCTAGCAAGGGGCAAAGAATAACGAAACATAATACGGTATAAGAATGTTTCGGGTGCTGGAGGTTACTACCCTTCAACTTCACCTGAAAGTAGATGGCTTTGTTTGAGGTTGAAATTATGAATTCGCTGTAAGACGGTCACTACATCCTCGCCAAAAGCTTCAGCCTTCGCCCAACCACCTCCCCAAACCCAACAACCAGTCCCATTCTCGGGGACCTTCTGCGCCTCCAATCGCCCCATCCAATCACAGGCTGACCACACCTCCCCAAGGGGCCGCGCGTGCGAGCTCTTGGGATTTCCGCTCCTCTCGTTTCCACTCCGCGCAACCCGGAATTTGTCATACTCGTTCCCCCCTGTTCCCTCCAGCGGTCCAGCTGGTGGTATGAGAAGCTCCGCCAGCCATGGCGCTCATTCATTCTCCTATCCACAAACTCCTCACTGAATCCACTGCTCCTTGACTCCCCACAAGCTGGTTCTGTCCAGACCCCTTAGCACACCGCCATTTCGCCACGACTCCCTGATCATTCACTGCAACCGTGCACGAATCAGCTAAACCAGTTGCTCAACGAGTAGAAGCCTTGTCCGGCATTGTTCTCGCGGCGCTTGCTACTCGCTCCTTCATCTGCTGACCTCCTTCGGTTGATGGCGTCGTTGTTTAAGCCGGGATGCTCGGAGGCATATCTCGCCGTATTTTCAGATGACACACCTGAAACATGGTGTTGGCTAGGCTACGAGGGCAACTCCCTCGTCCCGATGGGGACCGGCACTGGCGACGTCAACGACATGGTTACAAAGGTGAAATTGCTGTTTCCATCCCTAGAAAACTCTATCTGTGATTCTGTCAAATGGTTTTTATTCGTGACTATCCTCCTGCATTGTCTTCTCACCTTGATTGCTTTCCATAATTCGCCGCTTTTGGTATCCCGTGGCCTAGCCATCGTCCAGAGCAGTACGGTTTTATCCCTCTCGGGGAAGCAGAAGAACCTATCTGATTGAACCTTTTCTCAATTTCGACACGTTTTCTCCTCCCTTGATCGGCGCGCATTGTACATCCGCAGTGTGAGGACAACAACATTCTGTACGGTTTGCTACGATTGGTCAAGATGGACGACGGCGGCGACTCGAAGCGCGTGAAGTTCGTCTTCATCACGTGGGTCGGCGAGAGCGCGTCGCCGCTCAAGAAGGGAAAGGTCGCTCTTCACAAGAAGGATTGCGCGACTCTATTTAAGGTGCGCTCCACGGGGAATTTGCACAATAGAGGGCGCAGACGCTAATGAGTTGGTGCTTGGCGCTTAGTCCAGTATCTTAAGGCGTTTGGAGCAAACAATCTGGTTCAGTAATGGTTCTGAGCGGTTGATAAGGTAAGCGCGATGCGGATAGCAACAGCCGTTTGACCGCGTCTCAATTGAGGGTTGTGTGATGTCACGGCGATGTCACAGCCCGTGACTCGTGCTAATCAATGCGGCGTCATTATGTAATTTGTCGGTGAATGCGGGCTCATGCTTCCATCGCACCTGTCATCGAACACATACCTCTGACATACGTTACTGCCACATGCTACTGACACATGTCTCTGGCACACACTACTGACGCATGTCTCTGGCACACACTACTGACACATGTCATTTAACATACCCTACTGACATGTGCCTCTGACACACGCTGAAACATGCCATTCGACACTCCCTTCGGAAACTTATGTGAACCATCCTACAATTCAGCTCAGAGAAGCTTAGGCGGAGTTGCAACGTCAGAAACTGCAAATGCGTACCAGAAAATTGTAGTTTCTTCATCAAATTACCTCCTGTTTTCTCCTCCCACTCACTGGCAACCCCTCTTCCCGCGCTATCTCCCCATGGTCAGGGCTTCCATATTGAGAAGCAGTTGTACGAGAGGGAGGCCCTGGCGAGCCTGCAGAAGGATATTGATGACACACTGAAGATGGCGGGCGGCGCCAACTACGATATGGGAAACATCCGCATGGGCGTGCAGGCCGGCAACTCCGACAGCTACAAGTCTTTGGTACGGCACACTAGGGGCACTGTGATTCTGTTTAACTTCCCTGTAGTCCCTCCTCCCATCACACATTTTACTGCAATTTCGGTACTGAGGCCGCACAGGATTCAATACTCGCTGGATTATTGTTTCCGCTCTGTGCTTGTTGTGCTTTGTTTCTGGTGTTTGCTCACCTGCGTTTTCCATCCTCTGCCCTTGTGATTCATCATGCTGCTGCTGCAGTCGAAGAAGTTTTTCCAGGAGAAGGAAGCAGAGACGAATATCAAGAACATTGTGTACAACAAGGGTCCTCTGAACAAGGGTATCACGGCATGCGATCTTGGCGGCCGGCAATTTGTGGCCTCACATGCGGATGCCAAAAAGAACATCAAGGGTTATGAAAGCCCAATCAGGGGCAGCCCATCTGGTGCTAAGGGATAGTGCTGTCAAACCACCTTTCTGACATTTAGGGTTTTTTTTTTTTCCTGGGGGAATAATTTATTCGTGGTGATAGAGCACCGCCACTCTCAAACTTTAAGCAATATTGGGGGGTGGGGGGGCGGTTGAGAACTTATCTATGACACTGATTTTTGTGTATTGGAAGATATTTAGATGCAGCCTAGTGAACTTGTGAAATGTGTGTACTATCAGTATCAATTTTTATATTATCGACCCACCCACATCAGTTTCAACAGCCCACGGAACAGTGATCAGATTCAGGAACGCGAGTCCCAAGACTTGCTGGCTTGTTTACTCTGCTGCTATTGATTCTAGTTGTTCAGAATCGCATGCGTCGCCGTGCGCTCCTCGTAGGCGATGGCGTCTAAGTTCCGTCGCCAGCAGCAGCGGAAGCGATGGTCCGACGCGGGAACGGCATTCCCGCCAAGCTACGTTTCGCGAGCCACAGCTCTTTCGCTTGGAGAAGTGCCGGAGCTTTATAATAGATTGTACTCGCTACAAGCTGACTCGCTTAGAAATGCCAGCGGGGTGGCATTGCGACGAGATCCAGTAGTCCCTCCGAGTGCCATACCCGGATCGGCGGAGCTAAGGCGATTCGGCAGCGCGCTGCTGCAGCTTACCAGGTTCAGATCGACATTCGCCGAGATTCCCCATATTAAGGAGCTCTCAGATTCACTAGATGGATTATTCATTCGCTGGCGCGATGCGATCAGTGGCGTCACGACTGGTTCCGCCAGCAGTGACGGCTCAGAGGAGCGGGAGCTCATAGCAGGTGGGAATGTGACGAGCAGGTGGGAGTGGGATGCCGTAGGTTGATCTCTACGCGGATTCTCCGCGCACTGGTTGGGTCTAGCTGTTAGCGGACTGGTGTGGGAAGAGATCGGCCTGCTTCCGGCTAGAACCTCCTTTGTCCCCCGCTAAAACCCGTGCTCTGCTTCGCTTCACCCGCTAAACCCCGGCGTTTCGCCCCCATGCCAGTTAGCCTCCCTGTTTCCCGCTTTCTTTCTTCCCAGTCTCACTCCTTTTCTTTTCTTCGTCTCCCCTCATCCTTCCCCCCACCGCCGTCCCAGCCACCCGCCTGTACCTGGAGATTCTGTTCCTCGAGAACTCCCGCCCGCTGCACCGTGCGCTGCTCTCCGCGCTCGTGCGCATCTTCGCGCTCCATGGGGTTGGCGCAGCGGGGCGGGGCAGGGGGAAGGGCGGAGCCAGAGGAGGGGGAGGGCGGAAGGGGAAAAAAGAGGGGAAGGGAAAGAAGCAAAGGGGCGAGCGAGCAGAGAGAGGGACAAGTGCGGGGGATAGCCAGGCAGAGGGGGGGTTGGGAGATGGAGGAGTGAGGCAGGGATACGGAGAGGAGGATGGGGAGAGTGTTGCAGGGAGAGCGAGGGCGATAGTGGAGAGTGTTATCGCGTTGTGCTGTAACGAGTACGGCGTTGGTGGCTCCAAGAGGCGGCAGTTCGCTGCAGCTGCAGCAGGGGCTTCCATCACTGACGCCCAGTTCCAGGTTTGTGCTTGCCGCCCCTCCCCCTCTCCCCCTCTCACTCCTAGTCACATTCATGGCACTCCACTCGTTCCTCTCTGCCGCCCCTCCTCCCCTCTCCTCCGTTCTCCTCCCGTTCCCTAAACCTTCACCTCCCCTCCCCTCCCCCCCCATCGAATGACTGCATTCTCTGTTTCACTGCATGCCGTGTCTCCGCCTCTCTTTCTTTCAACCCACGGCGTCCCTCACCCTCCATGCCACACCATCTCGTATGCTAGCCACTCGTGCCATCCGCCCCACTCGTGCCATCCACCCCCATCCACGGTCATCCCCGTTCCCTTCCTTCCACACTCGTCCCCGTTCCCTTCCTTCCACGGTCGTCCCCATTCCCTTCCTTCCAGGCACCCTTTGACAGCTCATCTCGCCTCGTGGCGCGACAGCTGGCGCACGTTCTGAGTGCAGACGTGGCAGCAGTGGTGGACCACATGCAGCCACGTGGCAGCAGTCAGGACAGGTTTCCAAGGGGGAGCAGGAGCAGCACATGCAACGATCATGAGGGGCTCTCTGATGCCGCTGGCATGGCTGACGTAGGGCAAACAGCTGCCAAAGAAGCCTCGGAAGCAGGTTTGGGAGCAGGTTCGGGAGCAGGTTCGGGAGCAGGTTCGGGAGCAGGTTCGGGAGTAGGTTCGGGAGCAGGTTCGGAAGGGGGGGGCCACGTGGTACCAGCAACGATGGAGCTGTGTCAGGAGGCGCTGTCAACGCTCTACTACCTGCTGCAGCGCTACCCTCTAGAGTTTGCTCTGCGCCCTTCCAGCACCCAAGGCCAAGGCGAGCTGAGCAGTCAAGGCAGTGAGAGGAGTGGGAGCATTGAGAGCAGTGAGAGCAACGGGAGTGTTGAGAGCGAGGGCGTGTGTGAGGAGCTGCTGTCAGTGCACGGCGCTGTAGTGAGAGTGCTACAAACGGGGGTGCTTTCCAGAGATGCCACTGTAGCAGCGGCTGTCGCTCTCTGCGCCCTGCTGCCTCTCATCCAATCAGAAAAAAGCTCTGGTGCAACAGCAGGGGAAGAGAAGGGCGAACAGGAGGAGGAGGAGCGGAGGGAAGGGCGGCTGGCTGTGGCTCTAGCACGCTCCTTCTTTTCCTCCCCTGCCTCCTCTTCGTCCCCTTCCGCCCCTGCCATGCTGCCATCAGCTGCTGTCGCGAGTCCTACCCCTGCTGTGTCTGCAGCGCCAGCAACCGGCTTAGCAGCGGCTGCTAGCGAGTTTGTGGACCCATTGACAGTACTGGAGGCGCTTAAAACGAGGCAGGAGCGAGCAGAAGCAGGGCAGTCGGGTGCATGGTTGGTGGACATGGGGAGGTTTCCTCTGTTCAGCCAGCTGTGCTGCATCCGAGGCATGCTCACTGCTGTTCCCCGCCAAGCCCTCACTCACCTCCTGCTGCTGCTGCCCACGCCCTTGGCCGTGCCTGCTCAGCCGCTTGAAGCAGCAGGTGCAGCAAGAACAGCAGCAGGGGAGGCAGCGACCCCCCAGGCGGAGGATGTGCGCTGCTGGTCGCTGCTCTTTCACGGCCTGCTGCCCCATGTCCTCTCTTTCTGTGAAGCTTCCTCAGACGCGCACACCAAGTTCCATGCGCTCACCGCCCTCCAGATATGCCTCCACCAGATCAAGACCAGGGTTCAAAAAAAACGACCGTTTTATTGAAATTTTACCGTAAAAAACGGTACCGTAAAAAACGGTCGTAAAAAACGGTTTAAAACGGTTCCAGGAGGCGTTTCCTCTATTACTAACAAAACGGCCACTTAGTGGGACCAAATTGAACCCGAAATGCAGCAGCATGAAGGGGATGGACCCCTTTTTGCATGTATGCGCTTGTTGGCATGATTGAAAATGTTTGTGACCTTGTTTTTCTCTCTTTTTTCTTGGTGAACAGAGTTCTCTAACAAAAAAACGGCCGTTTTTTTGAAAAATCACCGTAAAAAACGACCGTAAAAAACGGACCGTATTTTACGAAAACCGTAATTTTGAACCTTGATCAAGACAAGCCTGCTGGACGGCACCTGCACTGCCTCCCGCGCACTGTTCACCCGCCAGGTGGCTCGAATTCGTGCGACGTGGCAGTCCGGGATTTGCGGAGCGGAGGTGTCAGCAGCATCAGCAGCAAGCCAGGAAGCTGATATAGTTCCTCTTAGCCAATTGGTGGAAATTTCGATGGAGGATGGCGGTGTGCCGGCGTATGAGGAGATGCCACGTGGCATTGTGGATAGGATCCTGGGCGCGGTGTGGGGCCACTGGGAGGATCCGCTGACTCAGACGGCGAGGCAGGCCCACGTGGCACTGGACCTGCTGCTGGACGTTGTTGAATGCCTGGGACGCGTGGGCGAAGGGGATAAGGGCGCGGGGGCTACAGAGGAAGAGAAGGGAGGAGGAAAAGATGTTGCTGGTTCTGTAGGTGACGGTGTGAAAGATGAGCGGGAGGAGAAAGGGAGGGAAGAGGAGGAGGAGGAGGATGTGGTGGAGGGGCTGGGGTTCATGATGGCGGAGGAGCAGGGAGAGGGGGCAGAGGGGGGACGAGAGCAGGAGCAGGAGGCAAGGCAGAGTGGGACAGCAGAGGCGAGGCCAGTTGCTGCACCAGGAGGGGCGGCTGCAGCTGCAGAAGGGACGGACGAGGAGGTTGTTTCCGGGGCAGGCGCATCCCGCGTGGGCGGCGAGTTTCGGCGGTTTGCGGAGCAGCTGGCTCAGGAGGTGCTGGCGACGGGGCCGCACAGGAAGGGGCGGTATGTTCCCCTTGCCTCGCTTGCTCTGCGCTTGGGCGCTGCTCGCCTGCTGCTCATGAGCAAGCAGGGGCGCTTGGAGGGCGAGGAAGGCCAGAGGAGCGTGGGGAGTGAGAGGAATGGAGCAGCAGGAAAAGGGGAGGGAGCAGGAGGGAGTGTGCGGTTCCCGGTGGGAGTGTTGGGTGACGCCCTAGCAGCCATGGGCGACGAGGGCGTGTGCTGTGCTGTCGCCTCCTTCCTCTCCCCCTTCCTCTCCCGCCTCCGTGAGGAGTGCTGGGCCGGCACAGCAGGCACAACGGCCACAGCAGGAATTGGGGAGGGTCAGGAAGGCGGCGGAGAGGGGGGAGGCAACGTGGAGTGGCGGAGGGTGTGGATGCCAGCAGTGCTGTGTGGGCTGGTGGCACGGCCGTCTCTGCACCGCACCAACGTGGCCACCTACGCCCTCCCCGTGCTCCTCTCCCTCGACCCGCCCTCGCTCTGGCCCCTCCTCTCCTTCCTCACCGCCCTGCCCCCAGGCAGCGAGGGAAGAGAGGGTATTGAGGATAGATTGGGCAGCGCGGTGGCGGTGTGGGAGCACTGGCCTGAGCTGGCGGATGTGAGGGGAGGGCCGCATGGGGAGTACCCGTGGGGGGCGAGTGTGGATGCGCGGGTGGGGGCGGTGGTGGCGCTGCTGCGCATGGGGCGCGGCATGGGCGTGCTGGATGGACCCCTGGAGGCCGCTGGTAGGGGCGGCCGGGATATGTGGGCGCAGAGGGCGGGTTCAGGGGATGAGGAGGAGGAGGAGGAGGAGGAGGAGGAGGAGGAGGAGGAGGAGGAGGAGGAGGAGGAGGAGGAGGAGGAGGAGGAGGAGGAGGAGGAGGAGGAGGGAGAGAGTGGGGATGGGGAGAAAGGGAGGGCGGACGGAGAGGAGGCGGGGAGGAGTGACTGGTCCGGCGGGCCGCAGACCGTGCTGACGTGGATGCTGGAGCGGGCGACGTGGCACGCTGACGAGGCGGTGCGGGTGGACGTGGCGGAGCTGCTGTGCATCTCATTCCGCACCACGGCCATGCCGTCCCCCCCCGAGCTGCACCTGCTGGGGCTCGCCTTCCCCCTCAACCTGCGCTGCTCCTCGCCCAACCTGCGCATGCGCTGGTGCTCCATCGTGCGCCGCTTCTTCTCCCGCGTTCGCGCTGCCGTGGAACGGCAGGAGAGGATGGCTGCTGTCACCCGCCGCCAGAAAATGGTTGCGCTGGGGGGAGGCGAAGCAGGGAAAGGAGGCGATGCTCGGGGAGGAGGTGAGGAGCAGGAGGAGGGGGGAATGAAGGCAGGGGAGGAGGGGGGGGAAGAGGGGGAGAGGGAGGAGGGGGCGAGTGTGGGCGAGTTACAGGCGTTCATGCAGTGGCTCACTGCGCTGCTCTTCTCCTCGCTGTACCCCTCCGCGCCCTATGAGTGCAAGAGCATGGCTCTCGACACTCTCTCTGCGCTCATGGACGTCTGGAGCCCACATGACTTCCTCCCGCCTCACACTGCCGCTGCACCGCCCCCTCACACCACCCCACACCTCCCAACCTTCTCCCCCTACCCGCCCGGTGCGCTGGCCCCAGGCAGCACGCACCTACTGCTGGCAGCAGCGGTGGACAGTTGGGACCGGCTGAGAGAGGCGGCGCTGGGGGTGCTGCTCAAGTACCCTGCTCCACTGCCGGGGTTGGAGAGTGCAGGGCAGGTGGCAGAGGTGGTGGAGTGGGCGTGTGGGCTTGTGATGAGCCCGAGGGTGAGGGAGAGTGATGCGGGCGCGCTGGTGCTGAAGCTGGTGTTTAAGAAGTATGTGGTGGGACTGGGGTGGCAAGTGAGGCTCTTTCCCTCCGTTTCTGTCACGCCTCCTCCTGCTGCTGTTGTTGGTGATGAAGCTGCTGCTCCTGGTGCTCTTGCTGACTGTGCTGTTGAGTCTGGGGGCAGCAGCAGCAGCAGCAGCAGCAGCAGCAGCAGCAGCAGCAGCAACAGCAATGGGCAAGGGGTACTGGTGGAGTATGTGCAGTCGCTGAACGAGTGGCTGGCAGCGCTGGTGGAGGAGGGTGAGAGGGACATGATCGGGGCGTGCTGGCACAGCCTCGTGCACGGTGTGCTGCTGCTGCTGCGATACACGCTCGAGGAGGTTGACTGGACCGAACCATCCATGCACACCGCTGCTGATGCTGCTGATGGGGCTGACGGGGCTGATGGGGCTGATGGGGCTGATGGGGCTGCGCAGGAGGCGCAGACAGCAGGGGGCATGAGGGGGGTGCTGCGGCGGGTGCTGGCGCTGGTGCTGCGAGTGACGGGGCTGGCTCTGTGGGTGGTGGCAGCAGATGGGTTGCGCGTGGACGTGGGGGAGGGGGGACGGCTGCAAGTGAGTGACAAGGACGCACAGGGGACCAGTGCAGTGTGCCGTGAGGGGCGAGAGGAGGAGAATGAGGGGGAGGAGGAAGGTGAAGATGGGGAGGTAGAAGGCAACGATGCCGATGATGGTATTGCCAATGCTGCTGATTATGCTGTTGCTGAGGACGATGTGATGGGAGCCGGTGAAGACGATGGCAGTGGGCAGCAGCTGGCCCCGGTGGAGCAGATGGTGATGGTGGCGTGCTGGCTCTCCATGAAGGAGGTCTCTCTGCTCCTCGGCACGCTCGCTCGCTCCGTGCCGCTCCAGGCTCATGCGGGGGCAGGCGAGGAGGAGGTGGATGGGGAGGAGGGAAAGCGGGCGACGGGGAGGAGGGGAGAGGGAGGGGGCAGCGTATGAGCAGGCGGTGCACCGTATGAGTGGGCAAAAAAGCGTGTGAGCGTGCGGTGCAGCGTATGAGCGGGCGATGCAGCGTATGAGCGAGCGGTGCAGCGTATGAGCGTGAGGTGCAGCGTATGAGCGTGAGGTGCAGCGTATGAGCGTGCGGTGCAGCGTATGAGCGATGACAATTCCGATAGACAAGTCCGAGGGACAAGTTCGCCGGACAAGTCCGAGGGACTAGTCCGCAGGACAAGTCCGAGGGACTAGTCCGCAGCACAAGTCCGAGGGACTAGTCCCTGGGACTAGTCCTCAGGACGAGTCCCAGGGGCTAGTCCGCAGTACGAATCCGAGGGTCTAGTCTTCAGGACGAGTCGGAGGGACTTGTCCGCAGGACGAGTCCGAGGGACTAGTCCGCAGGACGAGTCGGGGGGACTTGTCCGCAGGACAAGTCGGAGGGACTAGTCCGCAGGACGAGTCGGAGAGACTAGTCCGCAGGACGAGTCGGAGGGACTAGTCCGCAGGATGAGTCGGAGAGACTAGTCTGCAGGACGAGTCGGAGGGACTAGTCCGCAGGACGAGCTGGAGGGACTAGTCCGCAGGACGCGTCCGAAGGACTAGTCCGCAGGACGAGTCGGAGGGACTAGTCCGCAGGACGAGTCGGAGGGACTAGTCCGCAGGACGAGTCGGAGGGACTAGTCCGCAGGACGAGTCGGAGGGACTAGTCCGCAGGACGAGTCGGAGGGACTAGTCCGCAGGACGAGTCGGAGGGACTAGTCCGCAGGACGAGTCCGAGGGACTAGTCCGCAAGACGAGTCCGAGGGACTAGTCCGCATGACGAGTCGGAGGGACTAGTCCGCAGGACGAGTCCGAGGGACTAGTCCGTAGGACGATTCGGAGGGACTAGTCTGCAGGACGAGACAGAGGGATTAGTCCGCAGGACGAGTCCGAGGGACTAGTCCGCGGGACGAGTCGGAGGGACTTGTCCGCTGTACGAGTCGGAGGGACTAGTCCGCAGGACGAGTCGGAGGGACTAGTCCGCAGGACGAGTCGGAGGGACTAGTCCGCAGGACGAGTCGGAGGGACTAGTCCGCAGGACGAGTCGGAGGGACTAGTCTGCAGGACGAGTCGGAGGGACTAGTCCGCAGGACGAGTCGGAGGGACTAGTCCGCAGGACGAGTCGGAGGGACTAGTCCGCAGGACGAGTCCGAGGGACTAGTCCGCAAGACGAGTCCGAGGGACTAGTCCGCATGACGAGTCGGAGGGACTAGTCCGTAGGACGATTCGGAGGGACTAGTCTGCAGGACGAGACAGAGGGATTAGTCTGCAGGACGAGTCCGAGGGACTAGTCCGCGGGACGAGTCGGAGGGACTTGTCCGCAGTACGAGTCGGAGGGACTAGTCCGCAGGACGAGTCGGAGGGACTAGTCCGCAGGACGAGTCGGAGGGACTAGTCCGCAGGACGAGTCGGAGGGACTAGTCCGCAGGACGAGTCGGAGGGACTAGTCCGCAGGACGAGTCGGAGGGACTAGTCCGCACGACGATTCGGAGGGACTAGTCCGCAGGACGAGTCCGAGGGACTAGTCCGAACGACTAGTCCGAGGGACTAGTCTGCAGGACGAGTCGGAGGGACTAGTCCGCAGGACGAGTCGGAGGGACTAGTCCGCAGGACGAGTCAGAGGGACTAGTCCGCAGGACGAGTCGGAGGGACTAGTCCACAGGACGAGTCGGAGGGACTAGTCCGCAGGACGAGTCCGCGGGACAAGTCCGAGGGAGATCACTTCGTCTCCCTCCTCCTGGCCATGAAGCACAACGGGGCCGTGGACAAGACGCGGGCCGGCTTCATAGCGCTCACCCCTCTCTCAACCTCCCCTTGTCCCCCCCATCCACGCCCTCCTCTCCCCCCTCGTTCAGCAAGTGGGAGATCACTTCGTCTCCCTCCTTCTAGCCATGAAGCACAACGGGGCCGTCGACAAGACGCGGGCCGGCTTCATAGCGCTCACAGACCGTCTGCTGCGCTGCCCTTCCCCCGCCCTCAACGCCCTCCCGCGCTCCTGGCTCACCACACTGCAGCGCCGCCTCACTGCACCGCACCAGACCCTCACCGACCTCATCCGCCGCTCTGCTGGCCTGCCCGCTGCGTTCCTGGGGTTGTTTCTGGGCGAGCCCCAGGGGGCGCCGAAAGTGCTGCTGCCCCGTGCTGTGGCATGGCTGCTGGAGGTGGTGGGGGGGGCGGAGAGACGGGGTGGGGTGGGGAGAGACGCGGAGGGTGTGGGGGATGGTGCAGAAGTGGAAGGAGGGGCAGGAGGGGAAGAGTGGAAAGGTGGGCGTGCAGAGCAGGCAGGAGAAGCGCTGGTGCCAGGACCAGCAACAGTAGCACCAGGGGTGCAAGCTGCAGCAACAGCACCAGCACTGTCCCTCAAGGCACGAGAGGAGGGAGTGGTAGCAGCGGTGCACGCATGGAACGTGCTGCGCCTGGCCTTCCACGACACCCACCTTGCCACTGACACCTCCGCCTTCTGCTCCCCTGCTCTCCAAGCCGCCGTCGCCGCCGCCCGCTCGCCGCACTGGGAGGTGCGCAACGCAGGCGGGCTGTGCCTGGTGGCACTGCTGCACCGCATGCTGGGCTTTAAGAACGTGCCCCGGGCGGGGCGGCCGTGGGCGCGGGAGCAGGTGGTGTGCAAGCAGACAGCGAGGCAGAGCATGACAGCAGTGGAGTTCTTCCTGCGCTACCCTCATCTGCACGCCTTCTTCCTCCGCCACCTCCGACAGGCTGCGCTCGCCTTCCTGCCTTCTGCTGAGATCCCCCCTGCTGACGTTTCCCCCTCCCCCACCGCCACCACCAGTGCCAGCGCCACCACCTCCGCTTCTTCCACCTCCTCTTCCCCCGCCTCCTCCCAGCCGCTGCATCCCGCCCTGGGCCCCGCGCTCATCCTGCTCTCGCGCCTCAAGCCCTCCACCCTCACCTCCCCCTCGCCCTCCTCCTTCCTCTCCCCCTCCGCCTTCGTGCCGGCCGTCTCGCTCTGCGCCGCCCACCCCCGCATGCACATCCGAGAGCTCGCCGCCCGCGCGCTCGTGCCCATTGTGGCCTCCACGGAAGTTTCCGGGATGCTGCTGAAGCTGGCACGCAGTCTACCAAAGGAGTGGGGAAGAAGGGGTGGGATGGTTGGGATGGATGGTGGTGAGGAGGGACGAAGTGAGAAGGAAAGTGAGGAGCAAAAGGAGAAGGAATGTGAGAAGGGAGATGAAGGTGAGGGCGGGAGGGGAGGTGCAGGTATGGGGTACAATGCGGTGCATGGTGTGCTGCTGCAGATGCGCCACCAGCTTGCCGCCTACTGGGTTGCCGGCACTGGCCAGCAGCAGCAGCAGCAGCAGCAGCAGCAGGGGGGAGGGGAGGGGGCCAGCAGGGCAGCAGACGTGCAGGAGGTGCTGCAGGCGCTGCAGCAGCGGCGGTGGCTGGGCGACCCCCTCGCTTGCTGCTGCCCCAGTGTGGTTGCAGAGTATCTCACCGTCTCCCACCTTCTCCTCTCCTCCGCGCTCCACGCCTCCCCTCCCCTCTCCGCCCTCCTCTCCTCCGCCCTCCACTCCTCCACCTCGCTGTCCTCCCCTCCCCTCTCCACCCCTCTCCCCACCGCCCCTCACCCCTCTGCACCACCCCTCACCCCAATGGTTCAAGCCACAGCAGCCGCCTTCCTCCCGCTAGCCCTGCGTGCCTTCTCCTTCCACCCGCCTCTCCGTTTCACCATCCTCGACCCCACAGCCCTCGCTCTCAGGCAAACCGCCGCCTCTCTGCTCCTCTCCCCAGAAGCTGTGTGCCTGGCAGGCCGAGGCCTGTGGGAGGGGCTGGGTGCTGTGGAGGGGGATACGAGGCGAGAAGCAGGGGTGGGAGAGGGCGGGGTGTGTGGCAGTGCGGATGCGTTTTGGCAGGTGGTGCTGTCAGCAGTGCAAGACCCCTGTCGAGACGTGCAACTGTCAGCTCTCCGCTCCCTCTCCCACCTCTTCGCCTCCCCTTGCTTGCTCGCGCCGCTGCTGTCACCGCTCCAGACCGCGCCTCACCGCAGCAGCAGCGGAGAGGGCGGAGTGGGGGCGGTGCTGCTGGCGGTGGTGCAGGGGGTGCAGCAGGAGAGGCGGGTGCACAGGCGGGACGAGATGAGGTGCCGGCGGCTGCTCAAGGTGCTGCTGCCCGCCCTCTCCCTGCCCTCCCTGCAGCCCCTCCTGCTGCCTCTGCTTCCCTTTGCTCTGCTGCCTGGAGAACCACCGCTGGCAGGGACAGCAGAGGAGAGGCAACCTGATGGCCCCTCCCACGTGCCTGACAGCACTGCAGCTAGCAGCGATAGGAGCGGGTGTGCAGCGCTGTGGGCGGTGGTGCTGGAGATATTTGAGACGGCGCGCGTGCTGAAAACGAGGGAGGCGGCGCTGAGTTGCCTGGGGCACTGCTTCCGCCTTCTGCTCTCCCAGCATGGCCGCCTGGCCGGGTGTGGACTGGAGCAGCAACAGCTGCAAGGTGCCTGGCAGCAGGAGGGCGCGAAGCAGTCAATGGAGGGGGTGTTGACTTCAGGAGACTTTTCCCTGGGTCAGGGCCGAGGTACGGGGAACCTGCTGCAGCTGGCTGCCACGTGGCTGCAGCTGATTGGCGAGCAAAGTGCAGCGCACCGGCCAGTGAGTGTGCGGCGGGCGGCAGCGGAGGCGGTGGTGTCGTCAGGACTGCTGCTGGAGGTGGGTAGAGTGGGGCACGTGCTGCGCTGTGAAGCAATGGGAGTGGAGGGAGAGGAGGGAAAAGAGGGAGCAGAGGGTGGGGAAGGAGGGGAGGGTGCAGTGATGGAGTATGCGAGGGTGGTGGTGCGTGCATGGCTGACAGTGATTAGAGTGATGGAGGATGAGGATGAGACGCTTCGCAAGTCCCTCGCCACTGCTGTCCTCACCATCACCACCACTGCCGCTGCCGACGCCGCACACCCACACGCACCACCCACTACAGCAGCAGTGTCATCGGCCTTTGTGCCGGCACAAGTGGAGCGGGCAGTAGAGGCAGCACTGGCACACGTGTCGCTGTGCCTGCGCGCCTGCCCGCCCGCCCTGCTGCCCGCACACCTGGCAGCCTGGGTGCTTCACCCCGACTTTGTCTCCCCCTCGGGCTTTCAGCGCCTCACTGCCTTGGACCGCCTGGGAGATGAGCTGGTGGGTGAGGAGGATGAAGAGGAGGAGCAGGAGGAGGAGAGTGCAGCAGAGAGTGAGAGGAGGGATGGGGAAACGAGACCAGGAGAGGAAGGAGCAGTGGCAGCAGTGCGGGCAGTGCCGGGGTTTGTGCGGAGGCTGTTTGACCGAGAGGTTGATAACCACCACGAGGAGCCCTTGCTGCTCGCACACCTCTGCTGCCTGCACCTGCACCAAGCGCTGCAGCACTGCCCGCCCTCCCCTGCGCTCCTCAGAACAATCACCACCTGGAAATTGGTCTTTGCAAGAAGGTTTTTCACCGAGGCTGCCCAAGCTGCCCGGCTGTGCAAGTCGATGAAATGGGTGGGCGGGCCGACGTTTCACCAGGACTCTTTTTCTGCCCTGATTCGGCCGCTTCTTGGGTTGTGGGCGCTTAGCAAAGTGTCGTTCTCGGGAGCTGGGCGTGTCGAGTGTCTTGCACTGGGTTGGAGAAATATGAGCAGAGAGGAGTGTGAAAAGGAGTGTGTCGAGAGCAGCAGTGGGGATGGGAGTGAGTGCACGGCAGCAGTGAGTGCGTTGCAAGCAACAGCCGAGGATGTGCGGAGGACAAGGAAGCTGGTCAAGGCAGCTGCGAGGAAGCTGCAGGAGATGCCTGTGAATCCCATCCTGCAGAGTGTGCTCTCAGATGTGATGCGGGCGAATGCTGATGATGATGCTGATGATGATGCTGTTGATGATGCTGATGATGATGCTGGTGCCAGGGAGAGGGGTAGGAAGGGGATGCGTTGGGAGAAGGATGTGCTGTGGTGTGATCCGCTTTTCCTCTTGCATGCACAGTCGTACGGCATGTGATCAAAAGCTACTAAGGTGGTTGCTTCATTAAAGCGACGGTGCACATTTGCCACCCAAAACCCAGAAACCTGGCGAACTGTTACTGCGGATGGAAAGTGTCCGCACGAAATCCTGGTTTTCGCCAGCCAGCACTTTCGCGCTGGCAAGCCTGGTTCAAAAAAAAAACTTCTGAACCCAACACTGCCAAAAGTTGCCCGTCGCTTTAACAACAACTGAGGTCTGAAGTTAATTTTGCAAGTGTGTTAATTTGGGCTCGTTTTTTATCCCAGTTTTTCCTTCTCAACCGGGACGTACCGTATATCAAACCGGTTCAGCCCACACCACTGGAATTTCTTGAAGCTTCCGTTCAGCGCCACGAGCAAGCTGATCAATCGTGTCATCAGCCATTCCCATTTCTCATTACAGTCCACCTTCACATCTCAATTCTCAACGCAGCTCAAACTCTTCCGGAGGCACTCAGCGCCGCGGGAGATATACCTCTTTTGAGTAGCGGTGTGCGACGTCATGGCTCCGATTGTCGCCCGGGACTCCGTTCGCGTCGCCGTGCGACAACCCGTCGTCGCGCTGCTTCTTGCGCTATCGCTTGCGGCATCGCCAATCATGGTCGCTGCTGACGCGTCAGCGGCTGACGGGACACAGCATTCACCCGCGGAAACAGCGGAAGCGGCTTCCGCAGCAGCGCAACCAGCGGACGCGGAGGGAGCAGGCGCAACCGGCGCAGCAGCGGAATCTGCAGCGGGCTCACCAGCGGAAGCGGCGTCGGAAGCGGTAGTGGCGGCGGATCCCGAGCCGTACTGCGAGGACCTGTCGCGCGGCCCGTTGGTGCGCGAGATTCGAACTCTGTACCAGGACAGCTACGGCATGGAGGGCGTGGCGGTGATCACGCTGGGCGGCAAGGTGCAGCACGGGCTGAAACACGTGGAGGTGTTTATGATGACGTTCGCGCCTGGTGCTAAGACCCCCATTCACTCGCACCCGCAGGTGAGGCATGATGGCCCCCATACGCTCTCACCCATATGCTCACACAGCCACCAGTGCAGGCGTTCGTCGTTCTGTTTGGACCGATCCGCCACGTTTCAATTCCTCTCTTGCAAGCACGACATGGCTGTGTGACTGGCCGGCATGTACGTGGTGTGGTGTGCGCCGCTCATTGCATCCTGCGTGCCACTCATTGTTTGCTGTGTGCCGTGTGCTGCTTGTGCTCGGCTGCTTGTTGGTGGCGTGGTGGCGGTGACAGGAGGAGGTGGTGGTGTTCACGCGCGGAGAGGGCAAGGTGTGGGTGGTGGAGGAGAAGAAGACAGAACCGTCCGCCCATGCAGTCAAGCGCAACACCACCGTCACCTTCCAACCCAAGGCCCTACACCAGGTACGCTACATACTCTGTGCCAGGTGAATGCTGTGCCAGGTGTATGCAGTGCCAGGTGAATTGCCTGGCCAGGGAGTGCCAGGTGAATGCTGTGCCAGGTGAATGCTGTGCCAGGTGAATGCTGTGCCAGGTGAATGCTGTGCCAGGTGAATGCTGTGCCAGGTGAATGCTGTGCCAGGTGAATGCTGTGCCAGGTGAATGCTGTGCCAGGTGAATGCTGTGCCAGGTGAATGCTGTGCCAGGTGAATGCTGTGCCAGGTGAATGCTGTGCCAGGTGAATGCTGTGCCAGGTGAATGCTGTGCCAGGTGAATGCTGTGCCAGGTGAATGCTGTGCCAGGTGAATGCTGTGCCAGGTGAATGCTGTGCCAGGTGAATGCTGTGCCAGGTGAATGCTGTGCCAGGTGAATGCTGTGCCAGGTGAATGCTGTGCCAGGTGAATGCTGTGCCAGGTGAATGCTGTGCCAGGTGAATGCTGTGCCAGGTGAATGCTGTGCCAGGTGAATGCTGTGCGAGAGGAATGTGCTCATAAGCTATGCACTCTGCTCCCTACAATCCCCTTCAAACCTCTCCTCCTATAAGCCGTCTCATGCCACCCTGCTAGCTTCCCGCCCACAGTTTCCCCCCTCTCATTCCCCTCCACACCCTCCCCCCTGTGTGTCTCAGATTGTGAATGACGGCAAGGAGGAGCTGCAGCTGATAGCATCGTACTCCAAGCCGCCCCACAAGATGGCGGTGCACGCCACGTGGCAGACCCCCCGCAAGGACGCTGAGAGCGCTGGCCGGGCGACTTGGGACGCGTGCGTGATGCGAGAGGGCGAGGGGGGTGAGGCGGTGGAGGGGGAGAGAGGGGAGGAGAGGGAGCAAGGGGGTGTGGAGACAGCTGCCAGTGGGGAGGCTGCTTCTAGTGGGGAGGCTGGTGCTGGTGCAGCAGCTGGGGGGAATGTGGTGGGGGAAGATGTGACAGCGAGGGCAGAGGAGGAGGAGCTGAGAAGGGACTTAGAGACGGATGGTGGAAGAGGGGAGGAGGTAGCAGGATCGTCACAGGAGGTGAAGGATGAGCTGTAGGTGATGCACACACACATGCGTCAACATTGGGAGACGTCCCACCCACACCTAGACTGAGCATTGGCCTTATGAAACTGGTTTTTAAATTAATTTTTATGCACACAACCTAGGCTGAGCTGCATACTGGGCCATTCTTTCAGTTCAGGCTTCTACAGGTATTCTCCCCCCATAGAATGATACGGTACCAGGGAAGGGAGTGCAGTGCACAGAGATGCATTTGCTTGCTGCCCAAGACTTGCTGTGCTGTTCGCACAGCCCAAGCACCAGTGTTGTTCCAGGTAGACATGCTGGAGAGGGTTTAGCAATGCAAGGCAAACATTCCTTTGGCCATCATATGGTATGTTCCTGCACATTGGTCAGCCTCCATTGTACTTCTATTTGTGAGGCCGATGCACACCTATAATGATGGCGGTGCTGAGAGCACCCTGCTACTCACGCAGAACCCTCTGAGTGAGTGAGCGCCTAAGTACGAGTGTCCATGTTTGAGTGAGTGAGTCTGAGGGAGTGAGTGTGACGTGAGTGGGTGTGAGTGCAAGTGAGTTTGGCTCTCGGAAGAGGGGAAGCTTGTGCTCAGAGACGCCTCTACTGGGGTTTAAAAAATGCGAGCTCTATAATAGATTATCTCAAGTACAACAGTGCGACACGGATCACGCCTTGAAGGGAATGACCTTGTTCACGATCTCGTCACTGAGTGCAGACACCTGCGAGTCGAGGCTCTTGAGGGTCGCCACCTTCTGCGTCTCGAGGTTGGCGAGCGACGACTCGAGCTCCTTCTCGATGCGCACCCGGTACGCCTGCAGCTTCGCGTCAAGCTCGGCAGCCACCTCCTTCTTCATCGCGTTCATTTGCCCTGACGCCTCCGCGCGAGCCGCCTTGATGAGCGCCTCGGCCTGGCTCTGCAGGTCCTTAATCTCGCCCGAGTTGTCCCTCACGCCGATCAGCTTCTTCCTGATTTCCTCGTCGCGGGAATCCATGACAGTGGAGACCGGCTTGAACCAGATGGTATCGAGAGCAACCATGAGGAGGAGGAACTGAACGACGATAATGGGGAGGGTCAGGTTGAAATCGAAGATCTTTCCCTTCTCCTCCTCAGCGAACGCTGGCATGGCGATCATCGCATTCATCGCAATGATCGCAGCGTGGTGCATCTGCCTCGTCGCCTTCTCGCCGAAGATTCCCTCGACGACGGATGACGCGGCGGACGCGACGGAAGAGCTGCTGACGGCCTTCTCCTGCCTGGCCTCCGCGACCAACCTAGCGGCCCTCACGACTGACGGAAGCTTCGCAGCCGAACGAAGGCTCTTTCCGCCGACAAAGGCGGTGTTGAGGCTCCTCACGGAGAGGGTGGTGGCCATGGTGGAAGCGACGGCAGCCATTGCAGCGAATCACCTAGTCAGGCGTGGAGACTAGAGCAAAGCGTGATGCCTGAAGAGCTGCAGCAAGAGAAGGTTGAGGTGAGAGCAGCAGCAGCAGCAGCAACGGTGCTGGTGGTGGGTGGGAGGGAAGGGAAGGCACGAGACGATGGATGGGGGGAAAGGAGATCCCAAGGGTAACAGAGGCGCTGAGGGCTGGTGGGGGTGGTGGGGGTGGTGGGCGGGATCGGGGATGCGGGGAGGGCGGGAAGGTGAAAGCTGGCAGGCGAGAAGTCGGGAAAGCGGAAGTGCAATGCGCGGGGAACGCGGTGAAGCCCCTGAAGTTGCCGAAAGTCACCAGTCGGAAGGCATTTGGAAGAATCGTTTGTGGCGGAGGGTGGTGTGCGGGAGGCGGAGCCCTATCCGCCAGTAAGCCACGTAAGAAGAAACCAGCGCTGAGATCTTGCCATCTGGAGTGGGCTCTTTGACGAATGTCGCTACGAGAGGCTCTTTTGCTGGTTACCATTCATCATGCCACGCAGGCATGGCAAGCATTTCTGCCACACAGGAAAAAAGATCTGGCGCAATTACTAATTTTACGACACCACATATATATTTCACGATACGCAATGTACACCGTTTTCGAGGATGCCGAAACTCGAAACCAACTTTTATGCGGAACAGCGGTTGGCAACCCCTAGCAGGAGACCAACCGTCCCCTTCTGACGCAACCTCCACTTGCTCCTCTCGCAACCCTCACGAGTCGCCATTTCACATGAATTCGCATCTTCCTTCTTGGCTTCAACGAGCCGCGTCTCAGCACGATTCGGCGATTCCACTGAGCCCAAGGATGCATAAGAAGGCTTGCTTAGGGCTAGAGTCATCAATGGGAACACATCAACTCTTCTGGACGATATCCCAATTCTTCTGTGCATCCACTCCGTTTTAGCGATCTCCTTAGCTTTTTGGCCACGAATCATGGGTCTCCGCTCGGTACGCGTGGCGCTGCTGTGCGCGGTGGTGGTGGCGCTCAGCCTCGGCGGGGGGAAGCAGGGCGCGGAGGCGATCGCGGGCAGTGACCTGACGAAGCCGTTCGAATGCGACAAGAACAGCGACTACGGCATGTGGTTCCGGTACACGTGCGTGTGCGCGTCCATGCAGGCGAATGATGTGGGAATCTACTGGGAGCCCGCAGTCAACGTGAGCATCGGCGTCACTTGCCCAGGCCCCAACCAGGCGGCGTTCGGGCGCATGGCGTTCGGCAACAAGTGGCTGGAGTCCGTGGGGTACAGCTCCTGGGTAACCGAGCTCATGCGCTGCGCGCGCCAGCCCTACCGCGGCGACGGCCGGCAGCTCTGCTACATCTCCAACATCCGCGGGCGCTTCAAGGAGCTCTTCGTGGGCAACGGGTACGTGCCGCCCGGCGGCAAGGTCAACGGCCGCCCCTGGAACTGGAACCCCGAGCCGCCTTACATCGGCAACAACTGGCGCTCCTGGGCCTGGGATGAGAAGCCGTACTAACCAGTCGCCTGCTGCCTGCTGCCGGGTGCACTCTCTCACACACACGCATGCAGTTGTGCCAGACACGTGGATATGTGCAGGGCTGGGGGGTGTTAGGCGGAACGGCGGTGGTAGGGGATTGGATAGACCGGGATTGGATAGGGGACTGTGGTCCGGGTGGACGGGGTGTGTTGGTTTGGTAGCTGATAGGCAAGGACACATGGTGAAGGCATGCGTGTAGGAATAAAGTATTGACGTGTGTGGATGCTTAGTTGGGATACAGTATGGATCTTCTGCAGGACACTTGATTCCACTCCACTACAGAATAGTGCAATATGGAGGTTTTTGTACAAATTGCACTCAGGCAGTGAAACATCACACTTCTGACACCTTTCAATTCGCAGTTTCGCAACTAAACGAGCCTTGCTTGATGGAGGATTTTGGTGTGGAAATGCCTAGTTTCCGTAGCTAGCAATACAGCTCCGACGTGCAATCCTCGTTGTGATCCACAGCGTGATAGCTTGGATCCAAAACTCCAGCAATATACCTCGATATCATGTACCCAAGCTGTAATTGATGTCCCTTGCTGAATACTGTTGCTGTACGAGCCATAGCTTGTGGTCCAACAACTTGCATTAGATGTTTTATTAATTACTGTAGATACGGTATATCAAACCTGAGGTCTGGCAAGCCTATTCCAGGTCTAGAGTTGCACGAGTAGTGTCACCTTCTCAGCAGCAGCTCACTCACACAGACTAGGCAAGGGGGGGGGTAGCAGGCAGTGGCAGGGCAAGGGAGAGAATGCCCCCCACCACCGCAACCTCCTGGGGGTGCTGCTGCTGGCGAGCATGGCTGGCTCTAGCAGCACCACGTGAGCTGCTCTTAGCAACGGGTGCATGGCGTGCAGCTGAGGACAGGGCTGACGCACGCAGGCAGGGCGTGAGAGGCAGCACGGAAGGCATGCGCACCATTAGTGCCAGTGCGGGAGGCAGGGAGGGGGAGGCTAAGGGGGCAGCGGCGGGGGAGGGAGACGCAGTGGGGGTGGAAGGGGAGGGTGAGGGGAGGAGGCGGCGGAGGGAGGAGATTGAGCGTGCGGCGTGATGGATGGCGTGCTGCAGTGCCACCTGGTGGGAGAGAGAGAGGAGAAGTGAGAGGGACAAGGGGTGGTGAGAGGGAAGACGGGTGGTGAGACAAGAGCAGAGAAAGGAGACTTCTGAGTCAGTTCCAAAGGAGAAGCAGGTGCACGCACCTGAGAGGAGAGTGAGATGGAGGCAAACACCGTGCTGCTGCCTGCTGCAGCCGGCCCCCTTAGCCACCCCTCCCCTGCCCCGCCCTCCTCCCTGCCCTCGCTCCCTCCCGCCGCCATGGCCACCGTTCCAAAGCTCCGCGGCTTCCTCTCCTCCTCATCCTCATCATCACTCTCACCCTCACTCTCGCTCTCCGACCCTTCCTCCTCCTCCCCGGCCCCAGAGGCACCAGCAGCAGCCTTGGCCCCCGCAGCTGCCGCAGATGCAGCACTGCCCTTCACCACCCCTTTGCCAGCCGCTTCCTCCTCCTGTGCCTGATCTGCGCCCTCCGCCCCGTCCTCCTCCTCTTCCTCTCCAGCGGGCAGGATCCCCTCGGCAGCATCAAGCCGGGCCTCAAACTCGGCATCCATGAGGTCCCCCTCGCGCTGCCACTCCTCCTCCTCCAGCTGCCGCAGCTCCTCCTCCTCCGCATCCTGCCGTGCCCACTCCTCCTCGCGCTGCTCGCGCCGCGACGCCACCCGGTTGCGCAGCGTGCGCTCCCACCGCGCCACGCGGCGCCGCCTCGCCTCCGCGGCCTTGGCCCGGCGGCGCTCTGCATCGCGCTGCAGCTGCTCGGGGGTCTTGAGGCGCCGCGCCTCCTCGCTCTCCTCCTCCTCCTCGTCCTCCTCCTCCTGCTCCATCTCCTCGCCCTTGATGAACTCGTCGAAGCCCAGTGGCAGCGGGCGCGCCTTGGATGGATCCACCTTGCCATCCCTGAAGTGGGGCCGGGGGGAGGGGAGGGGACCGGGGTAGGGAGGAGTGGAAGAAGATGGTGAGGGCACGCAAGGCAAAGTGTATGAGTGCATGTGTGCACGGGAGAGGGGCGCGGCAACAATGGAAATACGGGACCAGCGAAGGAGGATGTAAGTTTGATGGTGAACACACTCTATGCCAGGCCATGCCATGACATGCCATCCCATGCCATCCCATTAGACCCCATATCCTGCCATGCCCTACCCGCGGCCATGGGAGCCAGCTCACTTGGTGAAGGGCTGAACAAAGAGGCGCAGCTTGCCCTCCTCGTCCGTGGTCCAGTTGATGATCTGCCGCGACGGCACGTGCACCAGAACCTGTCCCTGCATGTCCGCCCGCCTCATCTCCGCCTCCTCCGCACTCTCCCCCGCCCGCTCCGGCAGCCGCGGTGAGTTGCGCAGCACCACAAACTCCTCCTCTGCGCATGTGGAAATGAGCAGGGTAGAGGGCAAGCGAGGGAGGCATGGAAGCGAAGTGGGCAAGCCGCTAAAGAGTGGGTCCCCGAGGGGGGTTTGTCACATCAGACGCAGTTTGGCTTCGTCAAGCAGCAGCATGCCCTTAAGTAGGCATGTGGCATCCATGGGGAGGCAGTGCCAAGACGAGAGAGAGGGGAGCCAGGTGCCAGGAGGGGGGAGAGGACACCACATTGCTGATAGAGTTCTTCAGGGGATACTCTCTCTGTGTTTCATGTGATGCAATTTCACACTGGTTCCAAATCTAGAACTCCCCCCATCAATCTCGTCTCTTAACGCCCCCACTCTGCTTTCACAGGCACGGGCACTCACTCTGGTCCCAGAGGTAGGAGAGTTCGGAGGGCGAGGGGAGACGCAGGGGCGCCTTCTTGAAGGAGTTGAGCCACAGCTGGCGCTCCCCGTCCACCTCGTCCGCATACTTGCGCCACACGGCGGGCACGTCGTGGAACTCGTGGATGAACCCTGGCACCTGCCACATGTCGTCCTCGTCGTACAGGTACGGGTGCGATGGCTCGTTGTATGGCCCCTTCACCTCCCGCACCACTGCACACACACGCATGGGGAGAGATGGGGAGTGCGGTGAAGGAGTTTGGGGTTTAGGGCAAGCACTGGATGGGGGAAATGGGAGATGGAGGGGTGGGTTGGATCACGGCTGTGGCAAGTGAGCAATGGAAGGCAAACGAGCAAGGGAAGGCGAGAGAGATGGGGGCGCTGGAATGGTGCAAGGGCAGGAGTAAGTGGAGAGCGTGGATGGAGCAGGGTGGGCGAGAGGAGCGGCGAGCAGGGGGCTGGAATAAACGGTACTTACAGCCATCGGGGACTTTTGAGACGTCTCAATAAACGGTACTTACTGCCATCGGGCTTGTTGACAAACATGCGCGCCTTGGCTGCTGCCACTCGTGCCATGCCCGCATGGAACTGACCGGGGAAGGGCAGGGGAGGAGGGGAAGGATGGCAGTGTTAACAGGTAGCGAGGGGGAGGGTAAGGATGTTTGTGTACGAGCGATCCAGAGGATGAAGCGTTATGGCAAGGCATGCACACAGCAGCAACGTTGACAGGAGCTGTCCACACCGCAACTCTCCCTGCCATGCCCATCCTCTTGTCCGTGCACCAATCCCCCTCCCCCCCTCTGGCAACCATGCCTGCACACTCTATCGTGACTGTCCACAACCCTGCAACTCCCCCCAGCGCTGCACCTTTTGATGCACTCACCCCGGAGGTGTGCGCGTCGCACTCGTCCTTGTTGCGCAGAAACTCGCCAAAGCGGAACTTGCCCTGTCAGTGGCACGGCATGGCACAGCATGGCATGGGATGGGATGGGGATGGCATGGGATGTGGATGGCATGAGAATAGCTAGAGAGCACATACACGGCACTGACAAGCAGACAGTACGTAGGATGAGGGAGGGCGAAATGGCCGTAACGAGACGCTAATGTGATGTTCAGTGACTCACAAAGTGCATTTTGCCGTTGAGGGTGAAGACACCGCAGCCATGGAACTTGTTCTGCTTCATCTGCCCCGCGTACTCGTAGTGCCCCTTCTCCCTGCGCACACACATGCACGTATGAACCACAGGGGGAAAGGCGCAAAGCAAAGCATTGTTCCCAGACCTCTCAAGGTGCATATCCGACTCTGTTCGTCAAATCACGCTTCACGCTTCCTGTGAACCCGTGTAGCAGAGCACTCACGTCCAGCCCCTACAGAACGGAGCACTCACTCCCAGCCCCCACAGAAACAGAGCACTCACACCCACGCCCCACAGAGCAGAGCACTGACGTCCAGCGGCCAGAGAGCAGGGCACTCACGGCTTGCGGCCGAAGACCTTGAGCCAGCCGGGGTGGTCCTCGAAGGGCACGGCGTCCGTGGGGTCCTCCACCGCCCCCGCGCCCTCCCCGCCCACGCCCCCCGCCTTCTTGGCCTCGCTCTCCTGGGTTGAGAGGTCCTCGAGCTCCATGCGCAGCCACTCCCTGTCCTCCGCGCTCATCTCCTCGTCCTCAAACACCTTCCCCTCCGCCTTCAGCTTCCGCCACGCCCTGCCACGCGCACACCGCGCGCGGACGGAGACAGGGGAGGGTGAGACGCAGGGGGGGGGGGGTCGACGTGGGGGAGGGGAGGCGAATGGTGAGAGGGGAGGCGCAGGGGGAAGGGCGACAATGATCGGGTGTAGAGGTTGAGGGTTGAACAAGAACCAGGAGGGTAGGAAGGAGGGGAAAAGCGGCACGGCGGGGAAAGAAGAGCGCATGGGGTTGCGAGGAGGCTCACTCGGAGTCTGGCGGCGGGAGGCGCGCAGGGACGTCAACGGAGACGACACCATGGCCCTGCATCATGTTCTGCACCCACTCGCCCTCGTACCTGCTCAAGCTCACATGCACGCACACGCACGCACGCACGCACGCACAGTTAGATGTGCACACGCAGCGGTAGACAGACGGGAAGGAGTTGGGAAGTAAGGCAGGAGAGTGGGAGGACACGGAGGAGAGAGCGTGCACGTGAAGAGGGGGAGAGGATTTGAGAAGCTGTTTACTGTTGGTGTGGTGTGGGTTGTTGTATTTGTCATTGACAGGGTGCACGAAACTCACTTGCAGAGCTCGAGCGGCGTGGTGTACACTCCCTTGCCCTGCGCCATGTCGTTCCACACCGTGCCCTCGTACCTGCCGCCCCCACACCCACAGCGAGCAGCGGGGACGGCAGGGGGGAAAGGCGAGAGCGCGAGGGAGGGCGAGAAAAAGGGGTAGGGGGAGGGGGGACGGAAAGAGAGGGAGCTTGAACATAGTAGCTGTACGGATGGGAACGGTGATCCGTGGTTAGACATGGACACGACGGATTAGAGGGAGAAACTGCCAAATCAGCAAAGCGGTGCTTCCATCATACTACGCTCAAAACTGCCTACCATGGCAATTACTCGGGTCCACCAGTCGCCTCATCCCACCAGCCCCTACGCACATCCGCCACCCATCCCATCCGCCCTGCCTCGCGGGACACGTGGGGAGGCAGCACTCACGTGGCGCCGTCGCGGAAGACGTAGGAGGCCCACTGCAGGAACTCCTCCTCCATCTCCAGCTGGGCAGCACTCATGCGGGGAGCGACAATCATGCGGGGGGCAGCACTCATGGGGCGGAAGCACTCACGTGGCGCCGTCGCGGAAGACGTAGGAGGCCCACTGCAGGAACTCCTCCTCCATCTCCAGCTCCTCCAGCGCCTTGAGCGCGCCCGAGCTGCCGTCGTCCATCTCGTTCACCGGCGGCAGCCCCTGCCGGTACGGCACATACCGGTCCTCCGAGTGCGGCAGCTTCGCGCGCTGCTGCTTCCGCGGGGCCTTGCGCCTGAGTGAGGGGACGGGCAGAGGACATACACGATGGGAGCAGATAACGGAAAGGGCGGCACCGGCGGCGTGCAATGGGATGAGATACAGCATCCGGGTTGCGTGTGACCAGCATTGGGTTGCGTTCAGTCGGCATTGCGTCTGGTTCTCGGTGGCTCTCCTTACCTGCGCCTGCCGTCGTCAGCGTCGGCGTCATCATCGGCGGCGTCGAGCGCGGAGAGCCCGAGGAGCGGGTCGTAGAACGGCACCTTGGCATCGGCGGGCGCGTCCGCCCACTCCTCGCCCAGATCCGCCTCCGTCCACTTGTCTGGGTCCTGCGGGAAGTTCCACTCCTCCTCCTCCGCCACCTCCGCCGCCGCCGCCTCGAGCTCCTCCAGCGACTGCTTCGGCCGCGGCTTGATGCCGTAGAACTCCTCCAGAATCTACGGCGTGACGAGCGGAGGGTGGTACAGGCGCGTGGCGGGAGAATGGGGAACGAAGGAGGTCATGGCTTGCGTAGGAGAGAATCTATGCAGCTCAAGAATATCACAACAGGCTCGCTACGGGGCTGTGGTCGAGGGGCACGGATGACGAAAGGAGGTAGATTGAGCTAACATAGCTAGGCGCAAGATTAAGGCCTTCTATTCCACCTTATTTGCAGGCATAGAACAATGTAGTCTCAGCTATACGACTCTGTAATGATCGTAAACCAACGTGAGAAACCCTAGACGACTTACCACATCAGTTTCTGAGTCTACTCATCTTTTGTGCTAGATACTGGCTACGTTCCAAATCGGGGCTGACACAACCACTGTAGCACGTTGGAACGGTTGCGCATCTAACATCAACTCGACGCATTGAGGTAAGCTTATGAAAATAAGCCTTAAGCACCAATCAGATCAAACCCCTGAATCGCGAGAACCGCTACATGCTGACCTGGAACCAGAATCAGTTACATCCTCATCCCTAAGAAATCGTGTGGCGATCGGTTCTAACCTGTTCCTGCTCGCGATTCGCCTCCATGGCGGACTGAAGAGCCTGCAGCTCCTTCTTCCTCGCCTCCTCCGCGCGCTTCTCCACATTGGCCGGGTCGTAATAGTCCACTATCTGCTGCCACTCGCTCTCCATCTCCTCCCCTGGGCTCATCTTCTTCTGCGGCTCCTGCGCGGAAGACTTCTTAGAGACTAGCTGCGAAGGCGCCGCCTTTTGCGGATCATCATCCTTAGCCATGGCGGCAAGTCTAGGCTCTAGACCAGACCAGCCTGGTCCGAGATGCAGGTGGAAGGGACTCCAAAGTGCCACTGGCTGATCAGTTTTCCATACCACCCTGCTAGATGCCTAGTCAGGCAGCTCTGGGAATTCCACATTGCTTAGACGAAACTCCGAACGCATCTGGCCGTTGAACGTTCGCGAGAACCCGAATCGTCGGCGTGGAGCTTGCTCGTGCCTGAACCCATTCAAATTCACGAACAAATGGTTGATAAGGTAACCTCTGACTGGCTATGGTTGTCCAGAAAGGGGGGACATTTCGGTTCCACGCGTCAGAGCGTCAGTGGGAGTCGATCTGCAGGAGTGGGAGTTGAGACGACGCACAGAATTTGACAGACCTCATCCAAAGGCACATGTGGCACCACATCAGCAAAAGCGACTTTTACCGGGTATTGGGAACATAAAAGCGCAATAAGGTACATACATACAAGGGTACATATAAGTAGCTAGCGTGATTATCATTTTCATCTCTACCGATTTGTATCATGGCCATTTTAGCAAAATCGTAAATGCATGTGCGATGCCAGCGGGGATGCGTAGGAAAGCATGCGAATGGGCCGCACTCATCGCCGCTGTTCTCGAGGGGCAGGAAGCACCAATGCGCGCCTCTCGCCAGCACCTCGGGAATTGCTCACCGCAAATGTGCTGCAGCGCTGGAGCGAGCTCAAGTTCACCTTGTAGAAGCCATGGTCGTTCCAGCCAACCGCCATCAGTCGTTGAGGAACGCCTCTTTTACAAGACTGGCATGTTTGGTTTTCTAGACGTGCTCAGGACCAGACCAGACCAGAGCCTGTCTGCTCGCTCCACTGCCACTTGTCCACCCTTCCCATCGAGAAGCCTCCACGTTTGTAGACTTCATTCTAACGTAGCCTCGCGTGCGATTAGACCACTCGTGCTAAGTCGGTCTAGCCGTCCGCACCATTCACTCTTCCGCCGCACCTTCGACTGGCCACAGTCATTACAGCGCCGCCGAGCCGCCATTACTGGAAGTGCTTTCACCGTTACTAGTGTTCCGTCAACCCAGTTTCTCGTGCAAGTCGCGCGTCTGCTTTCAGTGCTCGTCTGATCGCGTCGCATCGCTCTCAGTAGCCGCTTCTGTCACTGTTGTTCGCCTAGTCTCGTGACGTCAGGAGATTGCCAGTGCCAGTGCGGCGCACCATGGCTTCCTCTCAGCGTGGCCGCGCAATCCGCGCAACCTCCTCCTTGTTCCGCCAAGCTGGCCTACTTCCCCGTGCCTCGCCCAGCTCCGCGCTCCATCCACCCCCATCACCCTCCGCGCCTGCTCCGCCGAATATGCAATTACTCCGCGCAATGTCCGCTGGCCTCCCACTCCACCGAACCCCCTCAGCCACCGCTACCAGCGCCCCCGCACTTGCCTCCGCACGGGTTGGGTTGAGCGCGCTTCTGTCTCCTGGTCCTGAGTCCCTCCCCTCTGGCGCCACAGCACAGGCAGGGTACGCCACGGTGGCCGTTTCCAGAGACCCGCAATTTGCCACGTTGGAAGATGCTGACGTGGAATATTTCAAGGGAATTCTAGGCGAACGTGGCGTAATCACGGACCCTGACGCCGTGGCAGCAGCCAACGTGGACTGGATGGGCAAGTACAAGGGGAATAGCAAGCTGTTGCTGCGGCCAACCACAACAAGCCACGTAGCGGACGTTCTGAAGTATTGCAATGAGAGGCGGTTGGCGGTGGTGCCTCAGGGCGGCAACACGGGGCTGGTGGGCGGCAGTGTGCCTGTGTTCGATGAGGTGAGTGCGGTTGCCATGGGGTGTTGCTGTACGCTTGACTGTCAATGTCAGTCATAGAAGTCTCACTCAGTGCACTCTCACTCAGTCACTATGAATCGGCATAGAAGGCAGTAATTTGCAATGTCAAGGGCACAGGTGGATCTAGTAAGGGTGAGGAGGCTATTGAACAGAGGCACAGGGGGCAGTTGCCTCTTTCCCCTTCTTACTGCTGCTCCTGTCCCACCCGCCTGCTGCGTGTGCGGCATGGTGATCATGATGGCATGGCATGATCATGATGGCATGGCATGGTGATCATGATGGCATGGCATGGTATGGCATGACATGACGCGGCGTGGCACGGCTTCGCATTGTATGGCATGGCATGGCATGGCCGGACAGATTATTCTGAGCCTGGCAGGAATGAACAAGGTCATCTCGTTCGATGAGGTACGCCTCTTGCTCTCTGTTGCCCTTCCCATGCTGCAACGCGCCATGGCTATCACACGCCGCTATGCCCAATCCCTCGCTCATCAACTGAAACTTTCTCATTGAAACCAACCACAAGCCGTGCAAGATATGCAGCTAACCTTCCCTCCGTGCAAGATATGCAGCTAACCTTCCCTCCGTGCAAGATATGCAGCTAACCTTCCCTCCATGCAAGATATGCAGCTAACCTTCCCTCCGTGCATTATCACTTCACTACACACACACGCCAGTGCGTGCTCTCTCTCAGTGCTTCCCCCAACCAATCCCCCCACCACCACCCTGCCCCTCACTCTGCTGGGGCCTGTGTGGGGCGCGCTATCAGGTGAGCGGCATCCTGGAGTGCGAGGCGGGGTGCATCCTTGAGTCCCTCGACACCTTCCTGGCTGACAAGGGGTGAGCCATCTGTGTGTGAACCCGCACACAAGCATGCACACACGAGCATGCACACACGAGCATGCACACACGAGCATGCACACACGAGCATGCACACACGAGCATGCACACACGAGCATGCACACACGAGCATGCACACACGAGCATGCACACACGAGCATGCACACACAAGCAAGCACACACGAGCGTGCATACACGAGCGTGGCCGCACACACCCCACAAGTGTCTCTCCCACGTGCGCCTCACCGCATGACCAGCCCTGTGACCATCCCTCCGCCCTGCAAGGTTCGTGATGCCATTGGATCTGGGCGCCAAGGGCAGCTGTCAGATAGGCGGCAATGTCTCCACCAACGCGGGTGGCATCCGGCTCCTCCGATACGGCTCCCTGCACGGCTCCGTGCTCGGTCAGTCACCCTGCCTGCTCGTTTCTCTGCTCGTTTCTCTGCTCGTTTCTCTGCTCGTTTCTCTGCTCGTTTCTCTGCTCGTTTCTCTGCTCGTTTCTCTGCTAGTTTCTCTGCTCGCTTCTCTGCTCGTTTCTCTGCTCGTTTCTCTGCTCGTTTCTCTGCTCGTTTCTCTGCTCGTTTCTCTGCTCGTTTCTCTGCTCGTTTCTCTGCTCGTTTCTCTGCTCGTTTCTCTGCTCGTTTCTCTGCTCGTTTCTCTGCTCGTTTCTCTGCTCGTTTCTCTGCTCGTTTCTCTGCTCGTTTCTCTGCTCGTTTCTCTGCTCGTTTCTCTGCTCGCTTCTCTGCTCGCTTGAATGCTCTGCTCACTGTCCTCGTGCCTTTGCGCACCTCTATGCTCGGCGAGCCTACTTGCCCACACTCTGTGGATCGTGGAGCGTTGAGCTCAGTCAATCTGCCCGTAATGCCTCCGAACCGTTCAGTCCATCCATTTTCTGCTCATCCCTACTTCATCTGCCCTTTCTCTCCCCACCTGTCCCTCCTCTCTCCGCCTGTCCCTTCCATGGCCCATGGGAGCACGACACGTGCAGGGCTGGAGGTGGTGATGGCGGATGGCACGGTGGTGGACATGACGAGGGCGCTCAGGAAGGACAACACCGGCTACGACCTCAAGCAGCTCTTCATCGGTACAGCTGGGGATGGGCTAATTAGTGTGATGGCGTATGAGGCCATGTCGTGGCATGTCATGTGGAGTGGCATGTCATGTGGAGTGGCATGTGGTCACACGTAATCGCACGGCATGGTGACGGTGTGATCTGCTTGTGCTGCACCACAGTGCACACAACACGTTCTCAACCCCACGTCCCCCCCACACGCCCCTTCCACATGTCCCGGCCACCAGGGGCGGAGGGCACGCTGGGCGTGGTGACAAGGGTGGTGCTGCTGGCGCCCCCGCGCTCGCCCTCAGTGCACGTGGCGCTGCTGGGGTGCTCATCATTCGACGCCGTGCAGCAGGTGTTCTGTGCCAGCAGGCGCCACCTGGGGGAGGTGCTATCTGCCGCTGAGTTCTTCGACCGCAGCTCGCTGCAGATGGTAACGCCTCTAATGTTGATTCCCATGTGAACCTGATTAACAAGGTGAGTGAGCTTGCATGTGATATGAAAATATGAGGACAGCAAAAATCCCATGAATTCAGATGTGATCACCCTCACCCCTCCCTGCCACGCCCGTGCTCTCCTGTGTGTGTGTCATGCGTTGTGAGCAGGTGCTGAAGCACAACGAGGGCACGAGGGACCCGCTACCAGACGGGGAGTATCCCTTCTACGTCCTCATTGAAACGTCTGGCAGCAACCCTGACCACGACCGGTGGGTGCAGCACATGCATTTATTCGCACACAGCAGTGCACCACGACTGGTGGGTCTGGCACACATGCGCACTCAGCAGAGCAATACCTACCAGTCAGTGCCTGCGACATGCATACGAAGGCCCAAATTCGTCTCTGACTTTCCATGAACAGATGTTCGGCTCCCTGGCACCACGCAGCATGCCTTCCAACAAACCACACCCTCCCAACCACCCTCCTTCCCCCCCGGACACACGCCCCACACCCGTGTGAGCGGCGCCAGGGTGAAGCTGGACGCGTTTCTGGAGGGCGTGATGGAGGATGGCGCCGTGGAGGACGGCACCGTGGCTCACGATTCTACTCAGGCCGCTGCCATCTGGCACCTGCGCGAGGTGAGATGCGCTGAGATGTGGTGAGATGCGGTGAGAAGCGGTGAGATGGCACCTGCCAACGTGTTCCTGGAGGGCACTGTGGAGGACGGCACCGTGGCTCATGACTCCACCCAGGCCGCCGCTCTCTGGGACCTGTGCGAGGTGCGCATAAGAGATGTCAGGCGACTGTGCACGCATGAGTAGCACTGCAAGAAGTAGCTCTTTCATTCCTTCCTTCCTGCGTGCCATTCTGTCTCCTTTCCCTATGTGTTACGATCAGGGAGTGGCGGAGGCGCTACAGCGAGCAGGCGCAGTGTACAAGTACGACCTGTCAGTGCCCGTCTCACAGCTGTACGGCCTCGTTGATGAGATGCGCTCCCGCCTAGGTGAGGGGGATAGCCTGGTAGGTTCTTCTCCGAGTCAACTTGTCACGTTGTCGCCCTTCCTGCACGTTTCTGCCTCTCTGATTTTCATGGTCCCTCTCTCACCTGTCTTCCTTCCCTGTGCCTGTCCATGTTGGCGGGGCACAGAGGGCAGTGCAGCGCAGGTGGTGGGGTATGGGCATCTGGGCGATGGCAATCTGCACCTCAACATCTCCGCTCCCTCGTATGACGACAAAGTGAGTGCTCCTCTATGCTCTTGCTGTCATTCCTCCATTATTCTCCACTGTCCCGCCCGGGTATGTGATGTAAATGAAACAGCAACTCGAGTGCTGAGAATGGCACCCCAGCAAGGCCACTGGACGCGCCCAAGAGCGCGGCCGTACCCCATGTGTTTGGTCCTCTTATGCGCGCATCTCTCCTTCCCATCCTTCCACATCCCACCTCCATTGAGCATGGGTGCTCCCATGTGTGCGTGCTGGCATGTGCACCACCCTTCCCTGGCAGTTGTTGGAGCGGATAGAGCCATTCGTGTACGAGTGGGTGGCGGGGCGGCAGGGCAGTGTGAGTGCGGAGCACGGCCTTGGGCTCATGAAGGCCAACGCCATCCACTATAGCAAGGACCCCCAAGCGGTGCGTTGCTGTCTCTCTGCCCAGCTCTCCCAAGCTCTGCCTCTTGAGTGCTCGCATAGTATGCTGGTAGCATACCATGCGGCAGCGCAATCAGGCAGCCATTCAACGTGCACATGCAATTATCGGGGCAATTGCACATTCACCTGGTACTCAGCTCATCTTCTCTCTGTTGCTGCTTCCATCCAGCTCATCTCCAACACCTCCCTGCCTGGGCTGTACATCGTAGCCTCTCGCATTAACCCACCCTGTGTGTCGTGTGCATGGCATGCAGGTGGCAGTGATGAAGAGGGTGAAGGCGCTCTTTGACCCCAACGGCATCCTCAACCCCTACAAGCTGTTGCCCTCCTCGTGACCCTCTGCCTGCCTGCAAGCACGGAGCTATGCTGCAATGCAATGCTCATGCCCCACACAGGGCTCATTAGTCACCCCTTTTCAACGAGTGATACTTAGCTGCTTCTCCAGAAAGCCTGCAGCAGTGTCTCATGCCAAACGGGCTGCACAATATCCATATAGCCATTTAGTTCTGCTGCTTCTATTCCTGGCTTATTTCATCCAGCAACAACAATCTCCATTATCACTTCAAAAATATGACTCCACAAGTGATCTTCAACTGGCTAAGACCACAAATTTAAAACACTGCGCCTGCATCTCGTATAATGCTGATATGGAAGCAGGACACCTTGCTGCTGGCTCCACGTAAGCTTGTGTAAATGGCACCTTCCCTGCACGCCTATCCCTCCAGCACAGTGCCATCAGCCACCACGATCTTGTCATCCTTGGGCGCCTCTATCGCCACCTTGCCCTGCATGCACCGCACACGAGGATGGATACACGGTGGATGGCAGATTAGGATGGATGAGAGGAGGTGGTGGAGTGGAGGGAAGTGGGAAAAGGGTACCAATTTTACAGAGGTCATTGCAGACAGAAGGGGTGAGCGAGAGCGGGGGGGAGGCACGGACCTTGAGAGTGACATTCTTTCCGAAGCTCACGTCGCCCGACACCTTGAGGCTGTCCAGCTGTATGATGCTGGGGATGGCCTTGAACCTCTTTTGGAAATCCGCCACCTGCTCGCCACAGCAGCATGCAACAGCAGTGGGCAATCCATGACCCATGTGAGGCTCCCGTAGCAGCATAGAAATACAGATGGAACATGTCATGTCATGCATGCAGCACACGGAAAATCTAAAGACACTGGCAGCACACCACTGCCAGTGGCGCACATGAAGGAGCATGGCACACGGACCTTCTTGAACTCGGGCCCGAGGTCAATGGTGGGGTTGGCGGGGGCGGTTCTGGCAGGGTTGCGCGTGACGAGCCCATCCTCCACCGTGTACAGATCCGACTGCCGGCACACGCGGGGGGAGGGGAGAGGAGGCGAGTCATGGAAAGGAGTAGGGTTACAGGTTGAGAGGTGGAAACCAGGGATGCGAGGAGGTTAATGTGCGCGAAAATTTGTGGTGAGAAGAGGCAGAGAATGTGGGGTGGAAAAGTGCACTGCAGGCACATGGTGTGCGGCCGAGGGGGAGAGTGGGTGGGTGCCCGTCAGCAAGGCAACTCTTGGAATGACAATTGGAGGGGAGAGGGAAGGGCGGCGGAGAAGAAGCATGGAGGCACCTGAACGAGGAGGAGGTCGGAGGTGGCCTTGACGGGCAAGAAGCGCGAGCGAGGCACGTTCACCCCGATGGCGCGATCAAAGAACTGCAGAGGTGGAGGGAGGGAGAGGGGGAACGAATGGGGGGCGGAGGGGATGGAAGGGGTGGTGGAAGAAGAGTGAGGTAGTGAGGCATGGATAGGCGAGGGAACAGGGACGATGGAGACGGGTGGAAGAAGAGAGAATGAGCGATGGCAATGCAGGGAGGCATGGCGAGAATGGAGCACGGCTGACCTTCATGGCGGCACCAGCAGCCGTCTCGAGCTGAAGCACCTTCACCCCGTCCACCTCCTGCTCCCACATGGAAAGACACATGAACACATGGACCGTGGACGCATGCAGCATGCACACATGCACACATGCACACATGGACCGTGGACGCATGCAGCATGCATACATGCACACATGCACACATGCACACATGCACACATGCGCACATGCACACATGCACACATGCACACATGCACACATGCACACATGCACACATGCGCACATGCACACATGCACACATGCACACATGCACACATGCACATGGAAAGATTGCAGGCATGCATGCACGGGCGTGACGGAGATGTTATCCGGAAGTGGTAGGAATGGCAGGAGAGCAATGGCGAAGACGGGATGGGAGAGGATGAAGAGCGACAGATGGGGGAACGGAAGTGAGGCGGGGGAGAGGGGCAGGGACGTGGGAAGAGGCGGGGGAGAGGGAGCAGGGACGTGGGAAGAGGCGGGGGAGAGGGAGCAGGGACGTGGGAAGAGGCGGGGGAGAGGGAGCAGGGACGTGGGAAGAGGCGGGGGAGAGGGAGCAGGGACGTGGGAAGAGGCGGGGGAGAGGGAGCAGGGACGTGGGAAGAGGCGGGGGAGAGGGAGCAGGGAGCAGGGGTTTGCACCTTGGGGTTGGGGATGATGTCGAGCTTGAGGGCGTCTGACTCCACCAGCCTCTTTATGGCCGCTAGGTTGAGCCATCTGCATGCAGCACCCACACAGTTGCTTGGTTCATTGCATGCTTGCACGGTCTACTTGCAGCCAAGGTTGTGTGATGTTGGAGTGTTCAATGGTGGCATGACATGGCACGGCATGGCATGGCATGGCATGGCATGGCACGGCATGGCACGGCATGGCATGGCATGGCATGGCACGGCATGGCATGGCACTGCATGGCATGGCATGGCATGGCATGGCACGGCATGGCATGGCATGGCATGGCACTGCATGGCATGGCATGGCATGGCACGGCATGGCATGGCACGGCATGGCATGGCATGGCATGGCACGGCATGGCATGGCACTGCATGGCATGGCATGGCATGGCATGGCATGGCATGGCATGGCATGGCACGGCATGGCATGGCATGGCATGGCATGGCACGGCATGGCATGGCATGGCATGGCACTGCATGGCATGGCATGGCGGACGCACATGTTATTGGTGTTGAAGATCTTGAACTTCTCAATGGACTTGAACTCCGATACCTGCACCACCGCACACCACCCAGCACCACCCCACAACACCCCACAGCACCCCATAGCAGCAGCAGCAGCAGGTATGGAGAGGAAAAGAGGTGCTGATCATGCAGCCCCAGGCCATGCACCCGTGGACGAGAGCCTTGCATGGCAGCAGCAATACACACTCAAAACCCTTGACGGTGACAGCTCCCACACACTCCGCCGTCACCTACACTCTCTGGTGTCACTCACACTCTGCTGGCACTTCCACTCTGCTCCCACTGACACTCTGCTGTCACCCACACCCTGCTGTCACTCACATGCTCAGGCGCCACTTGGGCAATTTCCAATAGCTGCACGGGGAGTGCGATGGAGCAGAGAGGATAGGGGAAATAAGGCATCAAAGACATAACAAGAAGACACGGCTGCATGAAGCATGTTGATGGAAATACAGAAGATGGGTAAGGCAGTGAAAGAGGAGAGCGTAGTGGAGGAATGGAGAGCAGCCAGGAGGAGAGTAGAGCAGAGTGCAGCAAAGGGGTGGTGCAGCGAGGGGGTGGTGCAGCGAGGGGGTGGTGCAGCGAGGGGGTGGTGCAGCGAGGGGGTGGGCACCTGCAGCTTGCCGTCGTAGTTGATGATGGTGCCGCCCTTCACATCCGCCAACGTCTTTGGCGTCACCTGCGACGCACCCACATAGACACGCAATTGGGATGGGCGGGCGGGCGGGCGGGCGGGCGGGCAGGCAGGCAGGGGGCAGGGAGGAAGGGATGGGAACGAGGAATGGGAGAGGGAATGAATGGGAGTGGGAAGGGAAGGGAGTGGGATGGGATGGGAGTGGAAGGGAGTGGGATGGGATGGGAGTGGAAGGGAAGGGAGTGGGTCGGGATGGGAACAAAGGGAGGCACAGAGATGCAACAGGATGCATAGATAATTTATATAATTCCATAGTGGCAGCACTTGCAAAGCATACTCGCTATTGAGTGGCACTCACTTCGAGGCAGTACTCGTTGTTGTTGTGTACAATGAAGTTGAGAATGCGCAGATCCACCGTGGCGCCAAGGTTGTCCGCGTTCGCCAGGAACACGTACTCGATGCCCTGCCATGCCATGCACGCCACACACACACACTCAGTGCATGCACACCCATCCGCTATCCATGCCATGCTCGTATATGCGTGCACTTGATGTTCCCCTAAGCTCTGCACTAGTACCCTCGGCGCCTACGCGATAATACTCTCTTTGTCCTTTTCCAGACTCCGTCACGCGTCTACAGTCTCTCCGCCACGCGTCTACATCTCTCCGCCATTCCGCCACGCCATTCCGCTAGTATTCTGGCGGAGGGGCGTACCTCGGCGAGCAGCTGGTCCAGCACGCCGCTGTTGCAGAGCGCGGGGAACACGTCGCCGTGCCCGGGAGGGTACCTGCAGTGCCGCGCGCACGGACCGTCACACACACGCACCGAAGCAGGGAACGCCTGTGATCCAACAGATCTACAGAAAAGGAAGGCTAGAACAAAGCGAGGAACGAATGAGGCGGGAAAAACGAGGAGGGGGACTGTAACGGAAAGGAGGCAGGAAAGCGGAGAGGGGAGAGGGGGTGGGAGGGATAAGGGTCGGGGGTAGAGGGGAGGGAAGACGGGAGGCAGAGGTACGGGCGGACTGACCAAGCGGCCTTGTCCTTGCGGCCCTTGGCAGGCCACGGCGTGTTGTCGTCCGCCACCACCCGCGGGTACTGGCTCTGCTCTCATCCACGCACATACACGCACACAGCACACGCACACAGCACACGCGGGCGTGCACGAGGGAGGGCGAGTGGTGAGTGCAGACAGCATGACGTAGAATGACAAGGGCGACGCGCGTGAACGCCTCAGCAGACGCGCAACTCGATGAGAACGTCCGAATGGACTAAAAGGGAATGATGGCGGAAACGTGTGCAAAATAGACACACGGTTGCAGTGACAGGGGACGAGAGACAGGAGGTAAGCGGAGAAAGCCATATTTGCGGAGACGCTAGAGAGGAGGTCTGACCTGGTTGAAGTATTTGATCTTCACTGCCGAATCCGTGTACTTCTCGAGAATCTGCCGCCACGCACACGGCTCGCCGTCAGAAAGGCCGACATACGAGTCCACAAAGCGTCATGAATCTATAAGAAGCGAGCAGGAGCGGAGCGAGGCGCACGGAGGGCGAGGGAGCGCACCTTGAGAGTGTCGTCGTGCGTGTTGAACGAGTCCATGAGCACCAGCGGAACGCTCGACCCGTACTTGCCGTTCAACGTCTGCCAGGAGAACGAAAGCACCGTCAGCGACAGGTCCGCGCGCGATCGCAACTGGGGTGACAAGCTTAAATTGGCCTTCCGAGGGACAGACGTACCTCGATTTGCTTCAAGATTAAGTCCAGGAATGTCTGACCGTTCCGAACCTCAATCACAGACCTGAAATCCCAAACGGATAACCGTTAGCACCGAGCACGGTAGGTAGACATAAGGAGGAGCAGGACGCGACAGGCGCGGAGGTTGAGAGGGTGAAGGGGTGAGAGTGACTGACTTGGGTCCCGTGCAGCCCATGGTGGTGCCCAGCCCGCCGTTGAGCTTCATCACCGCCAGCTTCCTCAGCAGCTCCTTCACCACCGCTGGATCTGCCACCCGCACCACCCGCACCAGCAGCAGAAACAGCCGTCACACCGTGTCACCATACAGGCTTTCAACTGGAGAATCAGAAACCAGGAACGCACGAAGACTGGCCTGAGTGCTCGCTAAGAGAGAGCGCTCGAAGCGGTTACCTTGGGGAACTTCAGGAAGGTCATCGTACGGCACGACCTCCTGGTCAGTGGGCGACTTGATCTTGTCCCACTGGATCACATTCGCCTTCTCCCTGCACCAACCCCATGCCACGCGTCAGATGTGGAGGAACAAGGCTCCCTGAAGGCGACGAAATATCTCAAGGATTACTAACTCCCATCGGTTCTAGTACTTACTGCAAGTAGCGCTCGAAAAGGGACAGGAATCCGCTCCGTTCTTGGGCGCTGCGATTGGACAAGAAGATGGTGAATCAGTAAGCTGATAGCCTGGGGCACGAGCAAAATGATGATTTGCTAACCGGTGTCCAGAGAGATCAAACCGCTCTACGTGCAGTCCACGGACTGACCTAATCTCATCAAGCGTCGCCGTCTCCAGTCTCAGACGGTCGATCGTTTGCTGCACCGACGGCGCAGTGGTGGTGGCCATGGCTGCGACGTACGCTAGGAGGACGATGCACCCGGCGACAACGAGATGCAGCTTAGAAAGCGGATAAAGGCAGCGAATGTGAGAGATGCTAAGGAGAAGGATGCGGAGATGGAGATGAGGTAAGGACACTGATGAGAATAAGGGAATTCAGGGAGATTTGGTCCTGAAATTCGATGTTCAGCCGAATTCAGGCGGCCTTGGATTCTCCAGCTCATCCCACACAACACATACCAGCAACATTCAGTCAAGGGGCACCAAAATCCTTCTCGGTTTTGCGCGGTTCTGTCGTCGTCAGAAATGTGTCAGACGGAATCGCCTGGATGTGTGCTGTGGGGTGGAATTCTTGCAGCATCTTGGGGATTGTCGTCAGAACCGCGCCAGTGACATCATCGAAAGATCCTCCGTTGATCGAGGCCGTCCACTGCGTGAGATTTTCTGATTTGTTTGAGAAAACAGCGCAACTAACAAAAGCACTACAAAATGTACTCCACACCACAACCACAATGTAGAAATTTCGGCTCACCCAATGTTGAATCAGCACTCCCTAAAATCTTGGTATTCGCTCACATGAGCCCCATTTCCTCGACATGAATCCATCAGCGCCACTTGCGGCACGCCCACCCACCATGCTTTCTTCATTAAGAACCCCTCTAGGTGCAAATAGGTCTCGAACGATAGGGATTTCATGGAATTTCACGAAGGACGTGCTTCATTTAAACACGCCCTCAGGAAAGGTGTGCGGCGACAGGCTGAGGCGGCCCAATTCTAGCGAGCTGTCAACGAGAATTGAGACGGCGACATCAAAATTCACGGCGGCTAGCGTCTCGCAACAACCATATTCGTTCTCATGCCAAGCGGCACCAGCGGCCTCGTCGCGAGCGGAGCCCAGAGAGCCCGACCTCGCTGAGTCGCTGCTCCGCGGCCGCAAACTCACCGCCGTCGCTCACCAGTACGCGCGCGCTCCCCTTCCCACCTCTCACTCCCCCTCCCCCTCCCCCTCCCCCAACCCCCGTGCTTCCGTGTTCCGCCATTCATCCTCCGCCCACCCTCGTTCTATCCGCCCTCCTTCCGCCTGCCGTCCTTTTGTGCGAGCCGGTCAGGTTGTGGAGAGGAGTGGTGCGGCGCGGCGACACGGTGGTGGACGCGACGTGCGGCAACGGTCACGACACCATGGCCATGGCTGCCCTCGCCCTCGCCCCCGCACCACCCAGCGATGGTGAGACCTCGCCTCTCACTGCTCGCAAGCACTGGCCTGCCCTGCCCTGCCCTGCCCTGCCCTGCCCTGCCCTGCCCTGCCCTGCCCTGCCCTACCCTGCCCTGCCGTGCCTGATGCCAAACCCCTGTGTGCTCCTACATGGCTGCGTGTGGGGGCATGATATGGCACGGGGAATTGAGTTGCACCGTGCAGGCGAGGCAGGGAGCGCAGGGGAGGAGGTGAGGGGGCGAGTGGTGGCGATGGACATACAGGAGGAGCCCGTCAGCAGAACCCACCGCCTGCTTGCAGCTGGGCTGTCAGACGCGCAGGTGAGAGGCGCACGGCAACATTTTATCTGTGTGCAATGCTCGTGTGGTGCCCCTGTAGCGGGTCGCAAAACCTGTGCCTTTGACCCCCTGCACGTGTGCATGTGTGGTGCTCACGCATGAGAGTTTGTGCCACTCGTGCCACTCTCCTCCCCCGCACGACCCCCCCCTCCCTCCCATCACATGGCAGATGGCTCACGTGCACACGGTGTGCGCCTGCCACTCCTCGCTGCTCCAACATGTCGCCCCTGGCTCTGCACGGTACCCCCGAGGCCACAGTCACTCACACTCCATGCTGAAACTCGTACCGCGCCCCTCTCAGCCATACACCATGCCATGTGTGATCAATGAAGTGTCACCCGCATGCACAACCTTCCACAGTATATTTTCGTTCCATCTTCTTCATCACTGGTTCCATTTCGCACCCCTTCCCCAATACTCCCCAACGAGCCTCCATGATTCCCCGTTCCCCTCCCTCCCCTCCCCCCCCCCTCCTTTACCACCTCCTGCCTGCACCACCCCAGACTGGTGGCGTTCAACCTTGGTTACCTGCCTCGGGCCCACCACGCTCCTCCCACCGCCGCTGCCTCTCCCACCACTGCCCCTGAGGGCATCACGACACAGCCGGGGAGCACGGTGGCAGCGCTGCAGGCAGCAGTGGTAGCGACAGCGGTGGGCGGCGTGGTCAGTGTCATGGCCTATGTGGGCCACCCAGGGGGCAGGTGAGAGCGCAGGGTGCGGAGGAGGGGCAGTAGATCTGACAGGGGTGAGGTGATTATGCTTAAAGAATATATGGACCCAAATAACACATTTTGCACATCCTCTGTTATTGATGAAATATGCAATGTCTTCATTCAGCCATTCTCCCTCTCCCTGCTTCGGACTGCCTTTGAATTTGCCCAAGGGAGGAGTATGACGCTGTAGTGGAGGTGGCAGCGTCTCTGCCTGCTGACTCTTGGGTGTGCTGGGAGCATCGAAGCATCAATCGCCCACTTAGCCCCCGATTGGTGCTGATGTGTCGTACACGATGATTGATGAGCGGTTTGTTCCTGAAGATGCCTAATGTATCATGTTCTTTATTGTTGCGGTAGTATCCGATTCAGGTCCTTTCCTTGCCCCTCAAAAAGCGCAATTGTATGAAATAGTTGCCTATGATTTTTTCATAGCTCTTGAGTTGAGTGCTGGATGGTTCTCTGTACACTTCATTGTTCGCTACTAAATTGGAGGCTTTGAGCGAGATGAAAGAGGAATCCATTCGTATCGGAACATGACATCCATCTCAGGCAGTTTCTGGCAGTGCAGGCATCATCTGTGGGTGTGTCACTGTTCCACGGACTTGTGACATGGCCGACGTGGCGCACGCTGACTGAACGGCTGATGTAATGAGTTCCTCCTCCACCACTACAGACCAAAATCTCACCTGCCCTTTCTATTGGCTGACTGCTGCGGCTGACGGAGGGTCCAACCCAGCACGCTCGGCCCTTCCCCCGGAGCTAACATTCGAGGCTTCATCCTTCCGCCTCCTCGAAGTTCTCAAAGGTTCATACGCGCTCGAACAGTAAAACACGGGCGAATGCGGGATCTCTTCCGCGTGCTCGCGGAAGCGTTCTGCCCGCGGGGAGCAAATAAACTAAAACCCAATCGGAAGGCATGCGATTCCGGAGGCATCAACCCTAAAATTTTAGGGAAAGTATGCCACAAGTAACCAACTTGGGACTCGATAACGTGAATGGTAAAAAAAACCCGAACGGTCACTGTATCGGGTTTTCTGACGGGTTTGGTAAGCGGGGTCACGGATTCGGTCACTAACAACAGGTACAAAATCACGCGAATGGTCACACATGTAACTCCCGCCAAAAAAACTTGAAACTCAACAAAATTCCCGCTCGCGCCCAACCAATCTGCGAACTTGTAAAAAAACTAAAACCCAATCGGAATCGGATGCGGTTTGGGAACGGATCAACCCTAAACACCTGGCGAGTTATGTGTTTAGGGTTGATCATCCGAAAATGCATCCAGGTTCTTTCTGGGTTTCATTTTGTTTTGGCGGGAGTTTCATCTGTGACCATTCGCGTTTTTTTTTACCAGCTGATTGTGACTGATTCCGTGAAACCCTTTATCAGTCGCGTGAAAACACCCTTTGCAGTGACCGTACCCTTTATTTTTTTACCAAAATTGTTTTCGGGTCCCATGATGGTTACGAACGGCATATTTTCCCAAAATTTTAGGGTTGAGGCTCCCGAATGAGAGAATTACCGCGGCACGGGCTTTGGCTCCGTGAAATTTTTATATCGCGCTTCATTTTTTTGAAATCCCGAAAAGCGATCCCTCCACCTTTCATCACACGGTTTCGCGCACTCGTCAGTTTGGCATGGATATAGCGAGTGTAGATGTCAGTGTAGGGTCAGCTGGAATTTTTCCTCGTATAGCACAATCGAACATCCCCAAAAATATTGGGACCGGACCACCAAGCACGTCGATTCCAAACATGCGTGGAAATTGTTCATGCATGCTCGTTGTTCCTTCCAGGTTCCTGAACATAACAAAAGCCGCAGCGCGAACATGGTAAAGAACCAGTCAGACACGGCGTGAACATAAGTTTGGAACACTAGACACGTTAGGCTTCAGCACCACCAAAGCCACCTCAGACGCTACCAACGGAACCAATCATGATGTCACACGTAACTAAATCAATAAAAACTCGGTATTAATAGCAAGAAGTGTCGATATACACAGAACACTACGTTCCGTTAAGGATTGAATAATGGATAAAACAGCTAAATTTGCATATGACATAATCTTTGTAACAGTTGCTAAACAGTAAGTTGTACAATAGTATATAGTAATAGTTTTTTTATTCATAATATTTGTAACAGCTGCTAAATATTTGATGTACAAACATCAATCATAGCAAATAACCATTATTGTCTCTAAAGATTGAATAAAGTGTGTAACTTTAAGGTGTATCAATAGGCATACAAACGTCAGGAGGGTATTGTTAGAATCGTAGGCATGAGTAGGAGCCATAGCTAGGTAAGCCCTAGCTAGGCAAGAGAGAATAAGCAAAGGAGGATGTTCACTAGAAAGCAGCAGGATACATATAGGAAACCCTAGGGGGTTGTACTCGCTATAGAGTACCCCACTGCAGGCTAGAGAACAATAACATTCTGACACACCCCCATAGTCAAAGTGGGGTATAATCAGCAGAGCAAGTAGTCCTAGAGCAGGTTCACATGCACAAGTAAAGCTAGGGGCAGTCGCAGAGGGCAAGTGAGGAGGAGGAGGAACTGTGGAAGGAGAGAAGATGGGAGGCAACGACTGAAGCTGCAGAGGCACGGACACAGGAGCGGCGGACTCAGTGGCTACCGAAGCAAGGGCGACGGACTACTGGAGTAACTGGCTCCGCGGCTATAGACGAGCGGCAGGAACAACGGACCCACTGGCGACTGGTGCAACAGGCTCACTGGCTACCGAAGCAAGGGCGACGGACTACAGGCGCTGCAGGCGACACGACCGCTACCTCCACACAACCTCCTCCAACTGCCCCACACCCTCGACACACACCCCCTGCTGAACCCCTAACTCCACTCCTACAGCACCCCCCTTAAACCCTAAACCCTAGGCTCCCACACACCCACCCCCCTCAGCGGCAGTTGCAGCAGTGGGAGACCAGGGAGGAGGAGGAGCAAGGGGAGTAACACATAACCGCCACCCCCACACTCCTCACCCCCAAACCCTAATTCAGGAGAACGGGCAGCAGTAGGGGTGGGGCACCGTCAGAAGCACGGGGGACAGCGAGCAGCTCAAGGACAGAGAGGAACGGGCCGCCCACGGGCCTGGCACAGCCCGACGAACCGCGCGCAGGCGGCCCGAGCCGCGCGCGGGCCTGGCGCAGCCCGTACGGGCCGCGCGCGGGCCTGGCGCAGCCCGTACGGGCCGCGCGCGGGCCGGGCGCAGCCCGTACGGGCCGCGCTCGGGGCTGGCGCAGCCCGCGCTGGCCAGGACGGGCGACGGGGGACGACGGGCTGGTCCCCGTCGCCCGTCGAAGCGCCCCCCGGGGGCGACGCGCGGACCGACGGGGCAGAAGGCCGCCGCGCGCCTCGGGGCGCATGGTGGGCAGAGAACCGCCGCACGCCCCGGGGCGCACGGCGGGCAGAAAACTGCCGCGCGCCTCGGGGCGCACGGCGGGCAGAAAACCGCCGCACGCTCCGAGCGCGCGGCGGGAAGAGAAATCCGTCGCACGCCACGGGGCGTGCAACACACAGAGTAGCAGCGGAAGCAGCAGTAGGGCCCACAGGCCAGGAGCGTGAGTGCTCTGAAACCATGTTAGAATCGTAGGCATGAGTAAGAGCCATAGCTAGGTAAGCCCTAGCTAGGCAAGAGAGAATAAGCAAAGGAGGATGTTCACTAGAAAGCAGCAGGATACATATAGGAAACCATAGGGGGTTGTACTCGCTATAGAGTACCCCACTGCAGGCTAGAGAACAATAACATTCTGACAGGTATGGAAGAACTACAAAATGCATGCACAACTTGACCATACAGAAAGGATTGAGATACTAGCAAGGTTGACACATAAATGTTTGAATACAAATCCACAGAGTGTAAAATCATGCAAGTGGTTGGATTACCCTTTCCAATTTCTTATAGTGATGGCCGTGTTTCGATTGTACCAATGAAATGAATGGATGACAACACAAAAAACCTTTCAAATTAAGAAAACATTATAAGCACAATGTTAATATCTTCAACAATAAACAATTTACTGTACATTTTATATCATGTTGTATACTTTGTCATCCTAAACTCTGGATTCCTGCAAAATATTGCAAAAGAGTGACCACCGTTATCTCATGTTATTATACAGATATCACAGTGTATTTTATTAATGGCCTTGTTTATGAATTCGTTTTTGATACCTCTAGTTGGGCTTTGTTTACATTGTTAATGAAATTTCCTTCTAATATATAGTTGCCATCTACTGATTTTTTTTTTGTGAAACTGTCGGGGTATATAGTATCAAATACACAATGATTGTTTCTTCATACTTCAGCATACAGCTGAACATGTTCACTTTGATAGTATGACGTGGCGCTAACTCATTGGCTGGTAAGTTCTCAAAGTGTTAGTTGTCAGATTTATATGACAGAGCTACTGTAGGCTATAGTGGGGTAGCACATATGGGGTACAGTTTTCTAGGGTTTGCATTTTGTACCCAACTTTCCCTTAGTCATTCTCATTTTTTCCTCGTTTCTTCTCATGGTATCGAGATTCCTAGGGCCCACCACCACGAAATTTTTTTTCCTGCCCGGAGCGCGCTTCGCTCAGGCCCGAGTCGCGCCCTGGGTGCTCCCCCCCTACCGTCGCGCCCTCGCTAGGCCCCTCACGGCCCCGTCGCGTCGCCCTTAGCGGCCCCCTCACGGCTCGTCGCGCCGCCCCTTACGGCCCTTCGTGCCGCCCTTACGGCCCGTCGCGCCCGTCGCGCCGCCCTTATGGCCCCTCGTGCCGCCCCTTACGGCCCCTCGCGCCGTCCCTTACGGCCCCTCGCGCGGCCCCTTACGCCCCTTACGGCCCCTCGCGCGGCCCCTCACGGCCCCCTACGGCTCGTCGCCGCCCTCCGCGGCCCCGCCACCTACCTGTGCGGCCCCACCACCTACCTGTGCGGCCCCGCCACCTACCTGCGGCCCCGCCACCTACTAGCGGCCCCGCCACCTACCTGCGGCCCC